AGTTTTTGATTTCTTGGACTATTTTATGCTAGGTTGTGTTCCTTTGTCACATTTCAGGTCCTAGCATGTAAATTGGAGCAAAGGCGCAAGTTTCAAGTCAATCGGAATTCATTTGGCGATTCGGGAGAAGAAACACGAGCATGACCTGAGGAATAATGGATTTCTACCTCATTTTATGGAAAAATAATCATGGAAGTTTGTTATGAAAAGAAATAGGACGAGACTACGAGCGTTTGGGTTCAAACGACGACTAATTCGGAGTCCGGACGAGGGAGAAACGAAGCATTAAAGAGGAGCGGAGGAAGAATTACGGGCAGCCCCTGCCCAATTACAGGCCTAATTGACTTGTCATGCCCGTAAATGCAATGCCGAGCCTAAATCCCTGAGAATTCATGTCACAAAGCAAATTACGGGCAAGAGTGGACTCATTTACGGTCGTAATTACTTAAATACTGGCAGTAATTGGGTAATTACGACCGTAATTACCTTCCTCAGAGTTTAGTGAAACGCGCGTTTTGGGTGAATTACGGGCAGACCATGATTACGACCGTAATTCAGCCCGTATTTCACCCAGAATCGGGTTTTTGAGGCAGATTCCAGCCAAAGGAGAGGGAGTCGACTTTTTGGAGCAAAAACAGAGTTTTAGAGAGAGAAAGTGCGAAGAACAAACCCAGGAGCTATTTGGAGAGGATTTCTCACCATTGAAGCATAGATTGCATCCCCAGGAGTGAAGATCATCATCCCGGAGCAGATTATCCTCATCTTTATGAGTATGACTACTCTGATTACTATTTTCCTCTCTCTCTCTATGGAGTAGAACTTTCTCTCACTTGGGTATGAAGAACCCTAGTTCCATGTGTTAGGAATCTTGATTGTAATGACTTGGGATTGTTATACTGTTTGATTTTAATCGATTGATGCATGATTCATTGAGTCAATTGAAGTCTGATAATCTTTTCTTGACTTCTGCTGCAACCTGAGATAGATAGAATCTGATTAGGTTGTTAGAGCCTCATTAATCAGTAGTGGTAGATTGGTTATACAAGAGTTAATCAATTTACTGCTTTGTACTGGAACCCAATTCCAGTAATGGAGTTCTGTGTTCATAGCCTCAGCTTTCTACCCCGGTGAAGACTAGTCGTCTGTCGGGTAGGGGGATTCATTCCCGAGTGACTCTTCCCTTGCTAAAGAACTTCGAACCATTTCCTGCTTTTTTACTGCTTTTAGTTAAAATCACAATCACTCGACTTAGTTTGCTAGATAATAAATCATCACGGAGTAGGCAGTAGATCTAGACCCCGGGTTGATAAATAGAACTTGCCACTATTCTGCATTTTCTGACTGCGATTATACTTGGTCGCAGTTTGGTGTTGTGTTTTAGCGTGTCAAATTTTTGGCGCCGTTGCCGGGGACCCTAGGTTATTGTAGAAACTTGAAAGTCTGTTACTTTAGCATTTTTATTTACTTTTCCACCCTTGCTTTTCACTTGGGTGTTATATTTTTTTTGGGTGCAGATCTGAAACATGGATCCTCTTGGCTTCTCGACCCATTGGGGGTATCAACCACCATCCGGGTGGTATTACCCCCAGACTTCATAGAGCACCCAAGGAGGAGAAGACTATGGATTTGGGTTTCCGTACCAACCCCCTTACTACGAAGAACTATCAGACCCTTGGGTATTTTAAGAGCAATCTCATTATCAAGAAGAATTCCTCCCAAAACTAGAAGGGACATTAGATCTTAATTTAGCCACAACCTTCACGGGCCATCCGGCAGAGCCATGCTACACTCCACAGCCAGATCCAAACTATCACTTGAGGCTTCTCGTGGAGCAGATTGCTAGAGTACCTGAGAGATCCTTTCCCGAGATGGATCCTCATATCTAGGCCATGGCACAAACTGACTTCTCTTTTCCCCGTGAAACAGAGGATACCCTTCGTAGCATAAAGAAGCATGTAGAGGTCATTGAGAAAGCTTGTGCACAGCTTTCTCAAGACAACCTTTATGCTGCCATACAAGTAGAGGAAGAGGAAGAAAAAGGCAATCATGAGGATGTTGACGAGCATACAGAAGTTATCACGAAAAGCTCCCATGATAATCATGATCAAATGTATCCTCTGGTGGTAGATCACAACTATCACCATTTCCGCTCTGATATGCTGGGCCTGAGCGAGGAGATGCAAGATGATCTCATTGAAGAAATTACATGGCGACTTTCTCTCCAATCTGTGCTAGAAGAAGAAGAGCTAGAGAGGGTGAGGGAAGAAGTTGTGTAGGATGAGGAAGAAAGCAAAGAAGAGGAAGTTCTTGATCTTTTCCAAGGGGAGAGACCACATTCTGATGAAGGAAGGGGGGTTAAAGAAGCAAGTGGTGGGCAGGCTGAGGAAGAAGTTGAGGTCGAAGAGGCATGCACCGGCCATGAGTTACATGTGATATCTCCACCAAACTTCGAGGAGCTGCTTGGCAAGGACCCATTTGCAGTGTCTCTTTGCCAGACCAAGAGCACATCAATATCGATCCCTCTTGGTGGATGCGATGGTGGTCAATCGAATATATCTTATCTGGTTTGGGGCAATGAGACAAGAGCAGACGCGAAGGAGAGGTCTCGAGAGTGGAGATTTCATCTTCCTCAAGGCCACGAGCCATCTTCATCACCTATCACATCACCTGCTTGTGACTTGAGACTCCACATCATCGATGAGAACCTCAAGTTCAAGGAGGTTCTGGGGTTGACCGAAACTTAGGAGCCACCGTCCAGCTAAAGACGTAAAAGAAGCACTTGTGGGGAGGCAACCCCAACAAGGTTTGTTTTTCTTTCGCTTGTTTTTCGGTTTGTCTACTTGGAATTATTGTTTTTATCACCCAGTGTGTTTTGATGACTCTATCCCTGCTGACTGATCACATTTCCAGTCCTCCGAAAGTCCATATTCCCGGTAACATCGTTTCCCCTTGTCTTTCCCTCTACTCCATTGAGGGCAATGTCGTGCTCAAGTGTGTGTGTGTGTGGGGGGGGGGTGTTTATCTGTTGTTGACTGCTAGATGAGTCTGTGTACTTGGAGCCTAGTCCGCTGTCCAAATCTCGAGATTTGAGGGCTCCAAGTATAGATGTTTGCATGATCATATTGGCACTGTGGGTTTAATTGGTGAATCGAATGGCTTTCGAATTACTGCATGACAACTGGATTGTGACTAGGACAACCTATAATGATGACTGAGACGTGTAGTAGAATTGTGTAGGAGTTCAGTTTTTTAACTGTTTGCTTACCAACTGTGACTTGGATTTATCACTTGTTCTTGACAGTCGTTTATGCATCTAGTTCAGGGAATCAGAATGAGAGATAGAGCATATAGGTAGCCATGTGAGATTTGAGCCTGCTCGTTTCTTTCTTGTGAGATAGATCCCTCTTCCATGATGTGTAGCATTTACGTTGTCATTATCTAAGATGATGGAGGCATAGGAATAGCCCACGACCAAATTGACTGTCTTGGTGTGTCATACCCTCTAGGCAGCCCCTTTGAGCCGTGTCATTTTCTTTCTTTCGGTTTATAATGGAAAATCACCTTTTGGCATCTCTTAGAAGGTTCCACGAAGTGGTTTTTGCATGTTCTCTGCGTTTCTGCTAAAAATAATGTGAGGGTTGGAGGTAGTTCTTAAAAAAGTTGGGCATGTGTTTGAAAAATGTGCAGAGGTGGTGGTTCTCTCAAGAAATGAAAAAGAAGAAGAAAAAGATGGTTGAAAGCTAAAGAGAGCCACTACCAAAAATATGAATCATGCTCAGTAAGTAGTGTTTCTTAGCAGTCTGGCTTAGAAATACTAACATTATTGTGACCTCCTTCGCTCTTGTGCTCTAAATAATTTGGGTAATGCAGAATGGCAGAAAGAAAGTAAGTGGTTTGATTGGCGGTAAATGTGTTGGGTTTGGGACCGTGGAACCTTGTGCTATGAATACTTACACCACCTAAAAGGCCTTTTCCCCATGTCCAAGACCCTAGCCAGTCATTTGAACCTATGTCTAAGACCTCCGGATTAGTTAGTGATGACACCCATTTATATGAACTCTAACATTTAGAGGCTGCCGTCATGGTGAAGAGACGTTAGGGATTGAGAGTATAAATATGCGCATTTTTCGCATCAAATTGTCCTGACCCCACTGGTCGAGAGTGAGCGATTCATTTCCTTGTTCTTTACACTCTTTACCCCGGTGAGGACCTAGATGGCTCAGTCTTGATTCTGATGTCTTGAGTTTTATGCATGAGCTGACTGTCTTGAATAAGTGGTTTAGTCAAGTCTAGGTTGGTTGATGAACAGAAGGGAGACTCTTCTTTTACCTGATTTTGCTGCACTCGAATGTCCTCTGTGGTGGTCGTCCAGTTTGCTGTTGAAGTTGTTCATGTGTTAATGTCTAAAAGCCAATATGATTCCCGTGTTTCATGCCTATATGATATGTCCCCAAGGGTTTCTTGATTGAAATGTGTTGAGCTTTCCTTGTATCTGACTTTGGTTGCATGGGGACAAGCAAACGGTTAAGTGTGGGGGAATTTGATAACGTCATATTTGCACATGTTTTTACCCTCGTTTCTTCATCATTTTGGCTAGATATTTTGATTTCTTGGACTATTATATGCTAGGTTGTGTTCCTTTGTCACATTTCAGGTCCTAGCATGTAAATTGGAGGAAAGGCGCAAGTTTCAAGTCAATCGGAATTCATTTGGCAATTCGGGAGAAGAAACACGAGCATGACGTGAGGAATAATGGATTTCTACCTCATTTTATGGACAAATAATCATGGAATTTTGTTATGAAAATAAAGAGGACGAGACTACGAGCGTCTGGGTTCAAACGGCGACTGATCAGAGTCCGAACGAGGGAGAAACGAAGCATTAAACAGGAGCGGAGGAAGAATTACGGGCAACCCCTACCCAATTACAGTCATAATTGCTTCTGTCATGCCCGTAAATGCAATGCCGAGCCTAAATCCCTGAGAATTCCTGTCGCAGAGCATATTACGAGCAAGAGTGGACTCATTTACGGTCGTAATTACTTAAATACTGGCAGTAATTGGGTAATTACGACCGTAATTACCTTCCTTAAAGTATAGTGAAACGCGCGTTTTGGGTGAATTACGGGCAAACCATGATTACGACCGTAATTCAGCCCGTATTTCACCCAGAATCGGGTTTTTGAGGCAGATTCGAGCCAAAGGAGAGGGAGTCGACTTTTTGGAGCAAAAACAGAGTTTTAGAGAGAGAAAGTGCGAAGAACAAACCCTAAAAGCTATTTGGAGTGGATTTCTCACCATTGAAGCCCATATTGCATCTCCAGGAGTGAAGATCATCATCCCGGAGCAGATTATCCTCATATTTATGAGTATGACTACTCTGATTACTATTTTCCTCTCTCTCTCTCTATGGAGTAGAACTTTCTCTCACTTGGGTATGAAGAACCCTAGTTCCATGTGTTAGGAATCTTGATTGTAATGACTTGGGATTGTTATACTGTTTGATTTTAATTGATTGATGCATGATTCATTGAGTCAATTGAAGTCTGATAATCTTTTCTTGACTTCTGCTGCAACCTGAGATAGATAGAATCTGATTAGGTTGTTAGAGCCTCATTAATCAGTAGTAGTAGATTGGTTATACGAGAGTTAACCGATTTACTGCTTTGTACTGGAATCCAATTCCAGTAATGGAGTTTTGTGTTCATAGCCTCAGCTTTCTACCCCGGTGAAGACTAGTCGTCTGCCGGGTAGTTGGAGTGAGGGCTATGTCAGCTTAAGAGATTCCAAGATACTGTCGAATCTTCCGCAGTTTAATCAACAGTTAATCAACCCAGGGTAATTACAATTGTGACCTAAATAAGGAGCTAGGGGGATTCATTCCCGAGTGACTCTTCCCTTTCTAAAGAACTTCGAACCATTTCCTGCTTTCTTACTGCTTTTAGTTAAAATCACAATCACTCGACTTAGTTTGCTAGATAATAAATAATCACGGAGTAGGTAGTAGATCTAGACCCCGGGTTGATAAATAGAACTTGCCACTATTCTGCATTTTCTGACTGCGATTACACTTGGTCGCAGTTTGGTGTTGTGTTTTAGCGTGTCAAGTTTTTGGCGCCGTTGCCGGGGACCCTAGGTTATTGTAGAAACGTGAAAGTCTGTTACTTTAGCATTTTTATTTACTTTTCCACCCTTGCTTTTCACTTGCGTGTTATATTTTTTTTGGGTGTAGATCTGAAACATGGATCCTCTTGGCTTCTCCAACCATTGGGGGTATCAACCACCATCCGGGTGGTATTACCCCCAGACTTCCTAGAGCACCCAAGGAGGAGAAGACTATGGATTTGGGTTTCCGTACCAACCCCCTTACTACGAAGAACTATCAGACCCTTGGGTATTTTAAGAGCAATCTCATTATCAAGAAGAATTCCTCCCAAAACTAGAAGGGACATTAGATCTTAATTTAGCCACAACCTTCACGGGCCATCCGGCAGAGCCATGCTACACTCCACAGCCAGATCCAAACTATCACTTGAGGCTTCTCGTGGAGCAGATTGCTAGAGTACCTGAGAGATCCTCTCCCGAGATGGATCCTCATATCCAGGCCATGGCCCAAACTGACTTCTCTTTTCCCCGTGAAACAGAGGATACCCTTCGTAGCATAAAGAATCATATAGAGGTCATTGAGAAAGCTTGTGCACAGCTTTCTCAAGACAACCTTTATGCTGCCATACAAGTAGAGGAAGAGGAAGAAAAAGGCAATCATGAGGATGTTGAGGAGCATACAGATGTTGTCACTAAAAGCTCCCATGATAATCATGATCAAATGAATCCTCTGGTGGTAGATCACAACTATCATCATTTCCGCTCTGATATGCTGGGCCTGAGCGAGGAGATGCAAGATGATCTCATTGAAGAAATTACATGGCGACTTGCTCTCCAATCTGTGCTAGAAGAAGAAGAGCTAGAGAGGGTGAGGGAAGAAGTTGTGGAGGATGAGGAAGAAAGCAAAGAAGAGGAAGTTCTTGATCTTTTTCAAGGGGAGAGAACACATTCTGATGAAGGAAGGGGGGTTAAAGAAGCAAGTGGTGTCCAGGCTGAGGAAGAAGTTGAGGTCGAAGAGGCATGCACCGGCCATGAGTTACATGTGATATCTCCACCAAACTTCGAGGAGCTGCTTGGCAAGGACCCATTTGCAGTGTCTCTTTGCCAGACCAAGAGCACATCAATATCGATCCCTCTTGGTGGATGCCATGGTGGTCAATCGAATATATCTTATCTGGTTTGGGGCAATGAGACAAGAGCAGACGCGAAGGAGAGGTCTCGAGAGGGGAGATTTCATCTTCCTCAAGGCCACGAGCCATCTTCATCACCTATCACATCACCTGCTTGTGACTTGAGACTCCACATCATCGATGAGAACCTCAAGTTCAAGGAGCATCTGGTGTTGACCAAAACTTAGGACCCACCGTCCAGCTAAAGACGTAAAAGAAGCGCTTGTGGGGAGGCAACGCCAACAAGGTTTGTTTTTCTTTCGTTTGTTTTTCGGTTTGTCTACTTGGAACTATTGTTTTTATCACCCAATGTGTTTTGATGACTCTAGCCCTGCTGACTGATCCCATTTCCAGTCCTCCGACAGTCCATATTCCCGGTAACATCGTTTCCCCTTGTCTTTCCCTCTACTCCATTGAGGGCAATGTCGTGCTCAAGTGTGTGTGTGTGGGGGGGGGGGTGTTTATCTGTTGTTGACTGCTAGATGAGTCTGTGTACTTGGAGCCTAGTCCGCTGTCCAAATCTCGAGATTTGAGGGCTCCAAGTACAGATGTTTGCATGATCATATTGGCACTGTGGGTTTAATTGGTGAATCGAATGGCTTTCGAATTACTGCATGACAACTGGATTGTGACTAGGACGACCAATAATGATGACTGAGACGTGTAGTAGAATTGTGTAGGAGTTCAGTTTTTTAACTGTTTGCTTACCAACTGTGACTTGGATTTATCACTTGTTCTTGACAGTCGTTTATGCATCTAGTTCAGGGAATCAGAATGAGAGATAGAGCATATAGGTAGCTGATAGACCGTTAATTACACATGTTTTTACCCCTGTTCTTACACCGTTTGAGATGTGATTTCTCGTGTTTTAGGCCGATTTCACGCTAGGTTGTGCTTGTTTGTGATATTTCAGGTCCTAGTACGTGAATGGAGGCTTGGGAGCGAGTTTGGGGTCGATAGGACGAAGATCGGGCGCGAGGCAAGTAAAAAAGGAGGCCACACGGGCACACCCACAACTCACACGGTCGTGCAACTCATATTTGTGGCCGTGTGAAGGAGTGGCCTGGCCGTGCGAGTTTCGCCGAGAGCAAACACGGGCAGATGGAAATCAAACACGACCGTGCGACCCTGGCCGTGTGAGAAGCCTGAAGATCGAACTAATTGGAACGCAGCGTTTTGACTCACACGGGCAACTGGGTAGGCCACACGGCCGTGTGGCCCTGGCCGTGTGAGTCTGGAATTCCTGGTTTTAACCCAATTCCGGGCTGCAAGAGAGAGGATCGGACTTTTTGAGCAAAAATAGAGTTCTAGAGAGAGAAAGGACGAAGAACACATCCTAGAAGCTATCTTGGAGCTGGGTTTCATCAAATCAAGCTTGGAGATCGTCATAGGAGTGGAAATCATCATCCCAGAGCAGATTCTTCCCATTGTAATGAGTATGACTGCTTTGTATCTTGTTTTCCTCTCTCTCTCTATGGAGTAGAACCCCTCTCTCACTTGGGGATGAAGAACCCTAGTTCTATGTGTTAGGGATTGATTGTAATGACTTGGGATGAGATTACTTTTTGATTTTAATCGAATGATACATGTTTATTGAGTCAATTGAAGTCTGATCAACTTTTCCTAATTCCTGCTGCAATCTGAGATAGATAGAATCTGATTAGGTTGCTAGAGTCTCATCATTCGATAGTAGGAGATTGGCTATACGAGAGTTAGCCAGTTTACTGCTTTGTACTGGAATCCAATTCCAGTAGTGGAGTTCTGTTCTTACTGCTTCAGCTTTCTATCCCGGTGAAGACTAGTCGTCTGCCGGGTAGTTAGACTGAGAGGGCTTGGTCAGCTTAAGAGATTCCAAGCTACTGTCGGATCTTCCGCAGTCTAATCAACAGTAAATCAACCCAGGGAAATTGCGATTGAACCTAACTAAGGAGCTATGGGGACTCATTCCCGAGTGACTCATTCCTGCTTGAGAAAACCGAATAATTTCCTGCTTTCTTTCTGCTTTTGCTTTTAAACAACAATCACTTACTTTAGTTGGCTAGATAATAGAGAATCACTGAGTAAGCAGTAGACCTAGACCCCGGGTTGATAATATTACTTGTCACTTTACTGCATTCCCGGTCTGCGATTATACTTGGTCGCAGATTGGTGTTGTGTTTTGGCGTGTCAGTAGCCATGTGAGATTTGAGCCAGCTCGTTTCTTTCTTGTGAGATAGATCCCTCTTCCATGATGTGTAGCATTTACGTTGTCATTATCTAAGATGATGGAGGCATAGGAATAGCCCACGACCAAATTGACTGGCCTGGTGTGTCATACCCCCTAGGCAGCCCCTTTGAGCCGTGTCATTTTCTTTCATTCGGTTTATAATGGAAAATCACCCTTTTGCATCTCTTAGAAGGTTCCACAAAGTGGTTTTTGCATGTTCTCTGCGTTTCTGCTAAAAATAATGTGAGGGTTGGAGGTAGTTCTTAAAAAAGTTGGGCATGTGTTTGAAAAATGTGCAGAGGTGGTGGTTCTCTCAAGAAATGAAAAAGAAGAAGAAAAAAATGGTTGAAAGCTAAAGAGAGCCACTACCAAAAATATGAATCATGCTCAGTAAGTAGTGTTTCTTAGCATTCTGGCTTAGAAATACTAACATTATTGTGACCTCCTTCGCTCTTGTGCTCTAAATAATTTTGGTAATGCAGAATGGCAGAAAGAAAGTAAGTGGTTTGATTGGCAGTGAATGTGTTGGGTTTGGGACCGTGGAACCTTGTGCTATGAATACTTCCACCACCTAAAAGGCCTTTTCCCCATGTCCAAGACCCTAGCCAGTCATTTGAACCTATGTCTAAGACCTCCGGATTAGTTAGTGATGACACCCATTTATGTGAACTCTAACATTTAGAGGCTGCCGTCATGGTGAAGAGACGTTAGGGATTGAGATTATAAATATGCGCATTTTTCGCATCAAATTATCCTGACCCCACTGGTCGAGAGTGAGCGATTCATTTCCTTGTTCTTTACACTCTTTACCCCGGTGAGGACCTAGATGGCTCAGTCTTGATTCTGATGTCTTGAGTTTTATGCATGAGCTGACTGTCTTGAATAAGTGGTTGAGTCAAGTCTAGGTTGGTTGATGAACAGAAGGGAGACTCTTCTTTTACCTGATTTTGCTGCACTCGAATGTCCTTTGTGGTGGTCGTCCAGGTTGCTGTTGAAGTTGTTCATGTGTTCATGTCTAAAAGCCAATATGATTCCCGTGTTTCGTGCCTATATGATATGTCCCCAAGGGTTTCATGATTGAAATGTGTTGAGCTTTCCTTGTATCTGACTTTGGTTGCATGGGGACAAGCAAACGGTTAAGTGTGGGGGAATTTGATAACGTCATATTTGCACATGTTTTTACCCTCGTTTCTTCATCATTCTGGCTATATTTTTTGATTTCTTGAACTATTTTATGCTATGTTGTGTTCCTTTGTTACATTTCAGGTCCTAGCATGTAAATTGGAGCAAAGGCGCAAGTTTCAAGTCAATCGGAATTCATTTGGCAATTCGGGAGAAGAAACACGAGCATGAACTGAGGAATAATGGATTTCTACCTCATTTTATGGACAAATATTCATGGAATTTTGTTATGAAAATAAAGAGGACGAGACTACGAGCGTCTGGGTTCAAACGGCGACTGATTCAGAGTCCGGACGAGGGAGAAACGAAGCATTAAACAGGAGCGGAGGAAGAATTACGGGCAGCCCCTGCCCAATTACAGTTATAATTGCTTCTGTCATGCCCGTAAATGCAATGCCGAGCCTAAATCCCTGAGAATTCCTGTCGTAGAGAAAATTACGGGCAAGAGTGGACTCATTTACGGTCGTAATTACTTAAATACTAGCAGTAATTGGGTAATTACGACCGTAATTACCTTCCTTAAAGTTTAGTGAAACGCGCGTTTTGGGTGAATTACGGGCAAACCATGATTACGACCGTAATTCAGCCCGTATTTCACCCAGAATCGGGTTTTTGAGGCAGATTCGAGCCAAAGGAGAGGGAGTCGACTTTTTGGAGCAAAAATAGAGTTTTAGAGAGAGAAAGTGCGAAGAACAAACCCTAAAAGCTATTTGGAGTGGATTTCTCACCATTGAAGCCCATATTGCATCTCCAGGAGTGAAGATCATCATCCCGGAGCAGATTATCCTCATCTTTATGAGTATGACTACTCTGATTACTGTTTTCCTCTCTCTCTCTCTCTCTCTCTCTTTATGGAGTAGAACTTTCTCTCACTTGGGTATGAAGAACCCTAGTTCCATGTGTTAGGAATCTTGATTGTAATGACTTGGGATTGTTATACTGTTTGATTTTAATCGATTGATGCATGATTCATTGAGTCAATTGAAGTCTGATAATCTTTTCTTGACTTCTGCTGCAACTTGAGATAGATAGCTCTGATTAGGTTGTTAGAGCCTCATCAATCGGTAGTGGTAGATTGATTATACGAGAGTTAATCAATTTACTGCTTTGTACTGGAATCCAATTCCAGTAGTGGAGTTCTGTGTTCATAGCCTCAGCTTTCTACCCCGGTGAAGACTAGTTGTCTGCCGGGTAGTTGGACTGAGAGGGCTTGGTCAGCTTATGAGATTCCAAGCTACTGTCGGATCTTCCGCAGTTTAATCAACAGTTAATCAACCCAGGGTAATTACAATTGTGACCTAACTAAGGAGCTAGAGGGACTCATTCCCAAGTGACTCTCCCTTGCTAAAGAACTTTGAACCATTTCCTGCTTTCTTACTGCTTTTAGTTAAAATCACAATCACTCGACTTAGTTTGCTAGATAATAGATAATCACGGAGTAGGCAGTAGATCTAGACCCCGGGTTGATAAATAGAACTTGCCACTATTCTTCATTTTCGGACTGCGAATACACTTGGTCGCAGTTTGGTATTGTGTTTTAGCGTGTCAAATCACTCACTCTTTTGACCAGTGGGGTCGAGACATTTTAGGTGCAAAGAATGTGCACAATCATCAACAGTCGGCCCTATCCTCTCTTCACCATGGCGGCAACCTCTAAATGTTAAAGTTCACGGGACGGTTGTCATCGCCAACTTGTACGGAGGTCTTAGACACGTGTTCAAATGACTGGCAATTGTCCTGGATATGGGGAAAATGCTATTTGGGTGGTGTCAAGCATATCATGAGGTCCTACATCTTCACCCTAAACCCGGAGGATCTATAGTTTCGACTAAGAACCTTCCCTACGAACAATGGCCACTAGCATCGGCCAAAAACCTTGCTTCTCCCTTCCAACCTCTCACCCATCATGAACTACCTTTAAGCGCTCTTCCTTGATCTACTCTTGCTATCACATTTCGAATTGGTAGTGAAGGATCTCTAAAACAATGATGGGGGTGTTTGAATGGCTTGAATGCCAAGAAACCCCAATTAGAGCATACTCTTCGAATTTTATGTGGCACTCTCTATTTTATTGACCCCATTTTATTACCTCTTTTCGTTTATCTTTTTTTACTCTTTCTACTTTCCTTTTATTTCTTTTTATTTTCTTTTTGAGGGGGGTACTAGAGAGCTAAACACTTGCCACACTACTTTTATCAACCAATGCTCTCCTTTAAGAACTAACTCCAACTCTACTCTTTGCTCTTTCATTCCAAGAAAGAACCGCACACCATCCTCCTATGTAGAACCTCAATGGAACTCAAAAGCGAGAGCTTCGGGACACAAGGACGACACACCTATAGACACGAAGAAAGGATGGGGGTTGTTCTATCAAACACCATTAAGCTCGCAAGCAAAAAGCTCCTAATGTGATGTTACTCGCCATGGTAAGAGGGATCTAAGCACACAAGAAGAAAATGATTGCTCAAAACTCACATGGCTACCTTAGTCACCCAATCATTCATTCCACTTCACAAAACAAAATGCATGGCAATTGTAATCAACAAGTAATCGAGTCAAGAAATCCATTCATTTTTGCACACATGAGAACTAAAATTTTGCACTATCCTAATGCACCTCTCAGTCATCATCATAGGACACACTCGATCACATGCAACAATTCAAGGTCAATGCCAATAAACACGAGATTCTCCTACAAACCAGCCACTTTGATCATGCAAACATTGCTTGCAGCACTCAAAATTTTTCAAATTTGGGGATACATCAAGGCTCCCAGCAACATCAATCACACTCACACAAGCATAAGAATAAACTACCCCCCCCCCCCCAACCACACACACACACACACACTTAAGTTCGACATTGCCCTCAATGGCGTAAGATAGGGGTAGAACGATGTTACCACTTTGCTAGGTGAGTGAAAGTTGGAATTGGTTCTGGGGTAGGAGATTGAAGCTTCAAGGAGAAGACAAAAAACACACTTACACAAACACAATACGACTCGCTCGGGGCGAGGTTATTGCATATCACAATACGATAGTAGTAGTTTATGATCACATACAAAATAAAAGAAAGAAAAATAAAACAAAAGAGTTCAGAGTTCCAAGTAGAGTAGTGTGGTGAAAGGAATCGGCTCTGCCACATATCTCCTTCGTCAGCTACCTCTCTCAATTCGAAGTCCTTCATCCTCATCTTGGAAGAGGACCTGGCGACGAGCCATCTGCTCAAGTAGGTTGGTCTGTTGGTCGAGTCAGGAAGTCAATCCCACGACGTGGGTCTCGAGGCGATATATCCTTTGGACGAGGGGATCACTAGTGGGTGGTGCTGGTGGTGGTGGTGGTGGTGCTGGGCGCTGGAGCACGGGACCCCGGCGGCGGCCGGGAGCTCGAGCAAGTGGCTGCTCTAGAGGTGGGACCTCTAGTGGTAAAGGTAATCCCTCAATGAACCAGAATGGTCCAAATGATCCCAGAAACCGGATGGAACGCAAAGGGCTCTCTTCGAACCCCGTGGAGTGCCCCTCATATGTGCCACTGTGGCTTGAGTGTGGATGCCAATGTGAGTGTCGATCGAAATGGTGTTTGTCCGTGCTTCGGGAGGCAATACCTTCGATATGTTGCATTCTGGTCTCAAACTCTGATGGCGTCCTCTTGCCACTCGTCCTCACTCCTGTCGTAAACTCCCAATGATCGGCCAAACTCGTCAAAAGACATTTTGTGCAACTCTCCACCCTAGTGGAATTTCACCCTGCGCAGCCGAGCGCCTAGCATGCTATTTTTTTGAGGATGGTGAAGGTACTAAAGAACTCGACACACAACTCCTCAAAAATGTTATCCTCCATTTCAAGGAGTCGAAGCCATTATGGGTGCACCATTGCCTCCCTCATGATATCTCCACAGTGAAGGCTATCGAATTGATTGAAGTCGAGTTTCCAGTGTTATCCGGAGTTATTGCTCGGCCAAAATCGCATCTTCCTCTCTGTTTTGGGGTTTCCTCTTAGTGCCACAAGGTACAGGTGGTTCATGCTGACTTTCCTATAAAATTGACAAACATGTCCCATACGTGGAAATAATTGTCAATCTCAGCTCATTAGGAGGAAAAAGAATTCCCCCCACACTTATATTTCCAGTGTGGATCCATGCTAATCAAAGCAATTAAGCATAAGCACATTGATTCATGGTTCTAGGTGGTCACAGATTATCTCACACAAAAATTCAAACCTGAACCATGCCACGGTGGCTACCAACCATCACTCAAGCAAAACATTTCTCATCATTCAACAATTAGCACTTGGTGGGCAAATTTCACAAATAGAAGCAATTCGAATTAAAACATGCCCACCAAGGCTCCCATAAGTTCAAGCAACATCATTCAATCACCCTAATTCACCTAATTCCTCGCCCTAATTCGAAGTTCAACAATCAATTTACTAAAATTCCCCTCACTTCACTACCTAATCTGATTTTCCCAAAATAAATAAGGTAGAGCTTAAAACCAACCTGGAGACTCAAGTAGGACGTAGGAGGAAGTGAGGTGAGGGTGAGGAAGGTGAAAATTGGCCGAAAACAGACCAGAGAAGGTCACTGGAGCTTCGTCGGAAGCTCGTCGGACTCTCATCGGAGGCTTGCCGGCGGCGACTTCGGGTGGAAAAAAGATGGCCCAAATCTTCCCAAATTCTCAGCGAAGGCCTCTTTTGTTGAGGCAAGAATGGTTCTGAGCTTGGTTTTGGATTTGGCTCGCCGGAAGTGGAGAAATGAGCAAAAACCGTTGGGTTGTGAAGTGAAGAAGACCGTTCACAGCCCTTTTATAGGTAGACTTTTATAGGTAGACCCTGAAGTTCACGAACGCGTTTGCCAGTTCACGGTTGTTAAGATCGTGAGCGGGGAATCCGTCTGTTAACTCAGGTCAGTGACAGGTTTGACACACGTGGAAGCACCCTGGTTCACGGACGCGTTTGCCTGTTCACGGTCTTATAAGACCGTGAACAAGGCACGCCGTCCGTGAACAATAGTGAAAACAGGGTACTTCTAAAAAATTTTACTCGACCTATTACACCGTGCCTACTATCAATCACGACACAAATTGAAACAACATAATTACCAAAAACTTGGCACGGGGATAGCACTTGACCACTTGAACTCTTCACTTGACACATAAAAACAAAAATAAGGGAAAGAAAATAAACCTACGTTGGGTTGCCTCCCAACAAGCGCTAAGTTAACGTCACTAGCTTGACGTTGCGGATCTATCACGCCTTTGAACGTGATGCCGCCGATAGTGGATCCGCCACGTTCTCGGGGTGAGACATGTTGCCTCCCAACTTACTCTCCATGGGGTGGCCTTCTTGGCCGATGACTTTTGCTTTGCCCTTTCCTTCCACTGGTCATTAGCACGACATATCCTTTCCCTCCAAGATACCTTCCTTCCTTCTCTGAGCGAGATGCCCTCCTTGCTTTCCTGTTTCACATCATCACAAGAATTAACAGTAATAGTGGGGTTCGCCTTGCAAGGCTTCCCTCCACTTGTATTCATATCAACCGGTTCCACTTCCTTCACTTCCTCACTCCTAGGCTTAGGATCAATTCCAAGAGTAATTCTCTCCTCACCATCTCTCAGAATCAAAGTTCCATCATTTACATCAATTATTTCCTTGGCGGTGGCTAGGAATGGGCGCCCTATTATGAGTGGCATCTCAAAATCCTCACTTATATCAAGGATCACAAAATTCGTCAGATAACAGAATTTTCCCACTCGTACTAGCATGTCCTCCACTATGCCCCTAGGACTAATGACAGAGTGATCAGACAATGTGACACTAAGCCTCGTAATCTTTATTTCACCTATGCCTAGCCTCTTAAAAAGTTATATGGCATCACATTTATGCTCGCCCCTAAGTCCTCCAAGGAAATTTCTATGTGATGAGAGCCGATGCAAAGAGGTATAGTGAAACTACCTGGATTGGGTTGCTTCTTGAGCAACCTGTTGAGAATGAAGGATGAGCACTCCTCGCCTAGGGTGTTACACCCCGATCTTGCCAAAAGTCAAAATGACTATTATACCCTGGGGAAATTCGTCAAATTCCATCGTAATTTCGATGAGGACTAAAAATGCGAACTCTTGGTTCAAACGGTGTCGAGTTTCGACATAAATCGAATAAGTTACAGACGTTAATTGAGTTGCGGATTAAACTCACCCGTAAATTGTCAAATTCCCAAAATTCCCCGGGTCAATTAAACCTAATCTAATAGAGAAACCCCGGGCTCGAAGCCTTCTCTTCCCCTCCCTGTTCCCGAGCCTTCTCCTCCCCTTCATGTCCCCTTCATCTTCCATCTCCTCCAGAAGTAGATGCCAATCAAGAGCAAAAATACCCCCAGCCTTCGCCTTCCTCCATTTTCCCTTCATCTTCCGCTCGATCTTGGAACTCGTCACAGGAATATTGGGCAATTAAACAGAACTAGCCCTGTAGTTGGAACTAGCGGAGGAATAATAGATTGCGATGTTCAGGAGAAAACCTTCCTTGACGCAACCTTTTTCCTCCTTCTGGATGCAAAGACTACAGCGGCAGGGTGACCTTCTTCCTCGACGGCGACGACTCGGCTTCTCCTTCTTCCTCAGCAACGGCGCGACTTCTCCTTCCTTCTTAGCAACAGCGCCTAAATCAGTGAGTTGAACCTTCGCCGTTGGCTTTCTTGAAGAAACCTAGGTCTTCATCGAGGGAAACAAAAGCGCGCTAAACCCAGGTTTGCACAGAGACCTCGACACCCTCACTTCGCTCCTTGCCCAGAAACCCATGAATTCGGGTTTGCTCCAACTTTGTCTTCATGGGAACCTCGCACCAGCTCTGGAATACATTGACTCGATGCGGTTGCAGAAAGCTCCGATTGAGGAGGAGAGTTTTGTTGCCCTGGTGAGACTCTGCGAGTTCCGGAGAGGACGCAAGGAAGGTCGTTTTTGTGTACCAACTTGTGTTGGAATCCTTGCTGTCCCCTTTGAGTCTTGGGCTTGGAAATGCGTTGCTGAGTAGGTTTGTGAGGTTCGGCGATGTAGGTAGTGCTTGGAATATTTTTGGGAGAATGGGCGAGAGGAATTTGTGGTCCTGGAATGTTCTTGTTGGTAGGTATGCTAAAGGTGGCTTCTTTGATGATGCTCTCTGTTTGTACCATAGAATGTTGTGGATTGGCATTAGGCCTAATGTCTACACTTTCCCTTGTATATTGAGGAGCTGCGGTGGTGCTCAGGATATTGTGAGAGCAAGAGAGCTCCATGCTCATGTTATTAGATTTGGTTTCGAATAGGAGGTTGATGTGGTGAATGCTCTGATTACCATGTATGTTAAGTGTGGAGAAGTGACAATGGCAGGCAAATTATTCGATCCAATGTTCATCAGGGATACAATTACTTGGAATGCAATGATTTCCGGGTTTTTCGAGAATGGGGAGTGTCTTAGAGGGCTAAAGTTATTCTTCAAAATGCGAGAGCTTTCCATCAATCCAGATTTGATGACTATGACGAGTGTAATATGTGGAAGCGAGTATGGAAACTTTGGAGCAAAATTAAGCCAGTTCCGAAGGAAGTAAGGTGAGTGTAAATGGGGTAAATTCTACGCCTTGCGTATTCTTTTAAGTATTATGATTTTAAGTATTTTAGCGAATTGGTTACCGTTGCTTGGTTATGTTTATGTTTGATTAGTTGTGCTTTGCTTGAGTTATGGTTTGAGGTGATTTTGTGCTATTTGAGGTGATATGAGGTCATTTTGTGCTATTTACCTTAAAGCGTTATGTTTGAGTTATTGTTAAAGTTTAAGAAACAAGTTCTTTTTAAGAAGTAACTCACCTTCAAGAAGGTGAAGTCGTTTTAAGTGTTTTTAGTCACTAGCGCCAGTCCGTTGCCATTTGAGATTTTCAGATAGAGCAGTAGTTATGCTCTTGAGATCTTTGAGACAGAGCAGCAGTTATGCTCTTGATACTTTTAAGATGCGCAGCAGTTATGCTCTTGAGAATCGTGGTGAAGAGCCACCACGATAAGTTTAAGATGTTAGGGGGATGAATCGTTACGACTTCCCTAACTAAGTTTATGTTTAAGGAAAACCTGAATGGCTTCTCATACGTATTAGTTGGCAACCGGACTAGCTAGTGAGGGATCCCCGTGTCAGTCAAGTATTTAAGTCAAGCTTTAACATTTAAGAATGGAGAGTAGCAGTTACTCCCATACAGTTTTAAGAGTTAAGATTTTTAAGAATGGAAGTACAAACAACTTCCCTCAGTTTGAGTTTAAGTGTTTGAGAAGAAGTGCAAAATTATTAGAAGGTTTAAAACGTAAGGGCGTAGACTGACCCCATCTCACTCACCAGGATTTAGTAAAGGAAAAGCGAGAACTAGACCGATAGTTGCAGCTAGAGGAGCAGTTAGTGAGCAGCGAGATCGAGAAAGCTCTTCGAGGCAAGCCAGCTAGAGGAGAGTAGTATAAGCGTCACAGAGGATGCTTAGTCAAGGGTTCAGTAGCAATAGCAACAACATTAGAGATTATTAGTTGTTTACATTCATGATTATGAGTATAGACTGGAGATTAGATTGAGATTTTAAAGTTTGAGTTCAATTTGCCCATGTGTTAGGGCTTTGCTTTGAACCACAAGTGTGTGTTTTCAGTATTTTATTTTTAAAAACTTTTTCCAGTTGCAATTTAAGATTTGAGTATTTTATTTATCAAGGGCATTTTAGTAAAAGTAGTACCCGACCGAGTTAGAGTTTTTCATAGGGTGACATTGGCGAGGTCTTTGAACTTCAATTTCTTGGAGACACACCCCTTGAGGTATCTCGAATACCTTGGCATGTGTCTCATCGCTTCGAGGAAGGGAATGTTGGGTGGAGCTTCCGGAGCATCTCCATGAAACCTCCACATTCCGCTTCTAATCTTTCCTTGTGCACTCTCGTGGGAAAAAGTAGGGGTGGCGTGTACTCAACCACAAGTGGTGGTGTCGACAATGCCTTCCTAGCCACTCCTCTCTTTTCTCGCGAGACTTCCTCTTCTTCACCCTTGGATAGAGGGTCTTCCTTCTCATTCACTTCGTTGGCAATCCGCTCCTCAAGAAAATTTGCATTACATCCGCCTTGATCCCTGGTGTTGGCAATGGTTTGAGAGGGTAGGGCTCCCTTTGGTCTCTCGGTGAGGATCCTAGCAAGATTCCTAATTTGAACCTCAAAGTTTTGGAGACTTGCTTGAAGGCTTTGGAGTCCCGCCTCAACCGAGGTAAACTTGGATGTTGCCACATCCATGAATTTCTCAATCTTCTCGAACTTCTAAGAGCTTGTACTCACAAAGGAGGTCACAAGGTCTTCCAGCTTAGAGAACTTGTCGACTTGTTGTTGTTGAAACCTTGACCGCCTTGTGTGCTTGGTATGGTTGTTGGAAGTTCGTTTTGGAACTGAGGCAATTGTTGGATGAATGTTGGTCGAGGTTTATAGTTTCTCATTGGACCTTGGAAACCACGAGTTCTTGGATTGGTAGGGAAGACCAAGCAAAGTTTGGATGATTGCACACTCGGGGTTCTTAGTGTTGCTATAAGGGTTGTTCCCTCTAGAATTGGCAATGAAGCTCACTTGCTCCTCGGGGGTACTCGACTCCTTCGTCGCTTGGCAATCCGAATTTTCCAGATTGGTGCTCGAACACCAATCACAAGACATCACCGCTCTCTTCCTTTGCTTGTTGTCCTCAAGGATCACCTCGATCAACTTGTCCAGCTTTGCTTCAAGTGGAGAACTTGTTCCCATACTTCGCACCCCTCTATCGGTGCTTCTCTTCCCACTTCTTGTCAGGCCCCAATCATATCCCTTAAGAGCCATATCTTCGAGCAACTCGGTCACTTGAGGAGGGGTGGTGTTCATCAACCTCCCTTTTCAAAGAGATTCATTAAGGATCTTGTCATCTTGAATGAGTCCTCCATCGAAAGTTTCTATCCGAAATTGCTACTCGAATCCATGGTGAGGTCATTGGAGAAAGTAGTCGGAGAATCTTTCCCATGCATCCCTCAATGTCCCATCCTCCTCTTGCTCAAAGTCAGTGATGTTATTCATCCACTCGGACGTCTTGGAAGGAGGACAATATCTGGTCATTAACTTGTTGAGTAGGTCGTCCCAAGAGGTGATGGATAGAGCCGGACGGTTGTTGAGCCATCGGAGTGCCTTCCCCACCAAATAATAGGGGAAGAGCTTCAATAGCAATGCCTCCTCGGGGACGCCATTTATCTTTAAGCTTCCCGCTAGCTCAAGAAACCTTTGGACATGCTCTCGTGGTGATTCATGAGCAAGCCCGTGGAAGTAGGCATTTTGTTGAATCATTGCCATGAGAGAGGGCTTGATCTCAAAGTTGTTGGCGGCCACGGGTGGATGCAATATGGGAGATTGGATATTCGTCGCCCGTGGAGCGATGTAATAGCCCATAGTCCTTGGCCCTTCCTCAACTCCCACTTCCTCATTTGGGTTTGGAAGCGGATTAGCCCCTCGGTGTTGATTTCCCGCCATCTCAACTTCAACTCCCCTTTCGATTATTTTAATTACGGGATCAACTTGTTGTTCCCTTTCTTCACTTCTCCTTCTTGCCTCCGCTTGCTCCCTCTCTCGAGCTAGAAGTCCGAGGGTCCGGTTGATGTCCTCGTCCAGTGGTGTTAAAGGTGTCGGATTGCTCCAGGTCATGCACCTCCCTACACACACTTAAAGAACAAAACACGTCTAGCACAAGCAAACACTTCACAAATTAACAAAAACAGAAATTAAAAGCTAGATTAACACCAAACAAACTTTTCACAGTAACGAAATGAAGTCCCTGGCAACAGCGCCAAAAACTTGACTCGCTTTGACTATCACAATAAAATCCCATCTAAAGTCGAAGTATAAACCTTAGATGGGTGCAATATAGGGCAAGTATGTATAAATATTATAGGTGTCAATCGGGCGGGTTCGGGCTGGGTTCAATCGGGTTCGGGTTCATCGGTTAGCGGGTTTATCGGGTTTGGGTTCAAACGGGTTGCAGGTCAGTCGGGTTGCAGGTTCAGGTTCAATCGGGTTGCGGGCAAATAGGGTTACGGGTTCATCGCGTTTTGGGACGGCCGGGTTGCGGGCGGATTAGTTACGGGTTGTTCGCGTCAGCGCATCGAGTAACTTACTCCTTACTTGTTACCAATTTACACATTTTATTACACTAATTTAAAATATTTTTCTCAATTTTTAACCAATTTCTTTCTACCTCGTATATATACTTAATTTTTAAAAAAATTAGTCAAAATGTTGAATAAATTTATATGACTTGCAAACTTGTTATGTAATTAATCATAATTGGTAAAGTACACTAGCTAATATTAATGGTTATATCAACATTTGCAACCAAAAAACACCATTAATTATTTATTTAGTATTTTAATATTATTTTCTTTAGTATAACCATGCAAATCTGTTATTTGGCGTATAGTATTTGGCAAAAGCAGAGTGGTAAAAAGAGTTATTTTGAAATAAATCATTGCCCTAATAACTTCAGTAAACTGTTGCCTAACGAGTTATTTGTAAAATTGTTCGAATTACCCTAAAAATTGAACCATTAAAGATTAACTATCAAATTTAATAAAATTGTTGTGACTTCAATCATAACTTACTCAATAACATATATCATATACACTTAGCCTTACTCTCAATTGACAATATTAAGTTAATATATGTTGTTGATCGTATACCCTAAACCATCAATATATTATACACTAACAACATACCCTATACCCTGACTATATATCCCTATGAGTTGTGATTTTGCTAGTATAGTTAATTCAAAGTGAAATTCATACTTTGATTTTCGAAACATAGATAAAAAAGTGATATTTGTTGTACCCTAACCATATATCCTATACTCTACACCATATACCATGTACCCTAACTACGTACCATAAACATAAATTAAAAAGGGGTCTCCTGCCATTAAATATCTTAAATCACTTCAAGTGAACATATGTTAATAAAAAACTTAGAACCGTCAATACTATCAATACCTTATACCCTAACCATATACACCCTAAACCATCTGTACCTTATACCCTATACCCTAACCATATACTTTATACCCTAAACAACGAACCGTAAAAAATTACTTATAAAGTTTAGTATAATTGTTGGCTCATATTCACCCGCCCATAAATTTTCCATTCCAAAGTTCCCATCCAAACCTCCATCTCATTTTCAAACCCGCAACTCGACTGAGTTATTGCAATCGTAAGACTTAACAGACCAAGTTTAACACCCATTTTGAAATGAAAGTTCAACTTGAACACAACTTAAATGTGCAAAAATTTTACTTAGAGTTGTAAAATAAAAATCATGTAGTGTTGAAATTGCAATAAATGTAGAAGCATAGAAAACAAGTAGACAAATTAAGTGAATTTTTCTAAACTAAATTATTGATCTAAACAACAAATTTTTTTTCCTTTTTCCTTTTCACAAAAAATTAAAATACTAAAATTCTCCTTCTTCTTTCTGCTTCCATAAATTATAAACACTCAATTTTCCCTCCGCTTTCTCTTTCATTTGAATAACCAAATTTCCCTTTTCGTTCCACAAAAAGTTGAAAACTCAAAATTTTCCTCCTTATGTCTCTTTCATAATCAAAAGAACCAAACTTTACCACTTTTCGCTTCCCTCAAATCAAAACCACCAAAATTCCCCACTTTTCTTGAAAATTGAAAGAAACTAATTTCCTTCTTCTTTCTCTTCCCAAAAAGTTGAATACACCAAATTTTTTCTATTCTTTTAAAAACATTAAATTATCAAATACATTGTTTTGTTTTATTTATATTTAATTGATAACTTTATTGAATAGTTAAATTAACCAAAATTTTAATTTATATATTATATTAATATTTTCCATGATCTCAATTATTAATTATTTCATATTTAATTTTTAAATTTTGTTAAAGAACTTAGCGTTCAAGTGATCTTCATGTTTCAATTTTTGTAATTTTCTTAAAATACATAATATCAAGTGAGTTAACATATTTTTAAATTTCCTAAACGAAATGACGAAATAATTTTACTTCAGTTCAAAATGAAAGCTTTATTTTGAAAAACTATGTATTATATAATATAATAGTTATTCCAGTGGAGTAGGTGCAGTTCGGGTTGAGTCGGTCGGGTTGCAGGTTAGTCTGGTTCGGGTCATTTGTGTTCAGGTTAATTACGTTGCAGGTTTAATCGGGTTGCAGGTCAATCGGGTTCGAGTTAATCGGGTTGCGGGTTAGTCGGGTTACGGGTCTATCGGGTTGCGGGTTGGGCGGGTTACGAGTTGTTGACTTTTAGTCAATTCGGGTTGCGGTCGGGTTGTGACACGCCACGACACAACTCAAAACTGCGACCAAGTATAATTGCTGAATGGAAATGCAGAATAGTTGTAAGATTACTTTATCAACCCGGGGTCTAGATCTACTGCCTACTCCGTGATTATCTATTATCTAGCAGGAAAGATTTAGTGAATGTGATTTAAAGCTAAAGCAGACAGAAAGCAGTAAATTGTTTGAAGTTCTTAAGCAAGGGAAGAGTCACTCGGGAATGAGTCCCCTTAGCTCCTTAGTTAGGTCCAAGTTGTAATTTCCTTTGGTTGATTTACTATTGATTAAACTGCGGTAGATCTGACAGTAGCTTGGAATCTCTTAAGCTGACCAAGCCATCTCAGATAGACTACCCGGCAGACGACTAGTCTTCACTGGGATAGAACGCTACTGAAATTAACACAGAACTCCACTACTGGAATTGGATTCCATTACAAAGAAGTGAATCGACTAACTCTCGTATAATCAATTCACTACTAGCGGCTGAAGAAGCTCTAACAACCTAATCAGATTATATATATCTCAGGTTGCAGCAAAAATCAAAAAAAGTTGATTAGGATTCAATTGACTCAATAAACACACTTCAATCGATTATAATCAGACAGTATATCAATCCAAAAGTCACTACAACCAATATCCCTAACACATGGAACTAGGGTTCTTCATACCCAAGTGAGATAGAGTTCTACTCCATAGAGAGAGAGAGAGGAAAACCGAATACAAAGCAGTCATACTCATAATGATGGGAAGAATCTGCTCTGGGATAATAATCTTCACTCCAAGGACTAAATCCTAGCTTGATTGATGAAACTTAGCTCCAAAATCAATCTTAGGGTTTGTTCTTCACACTTTCTCTCTCTAAGACTCTGTTTTTGCTCTGAAAATTCTTCTCCTTCTTTAAAGACCCAAAATTTGGTTAAAAAGCTAGTTCTGCCGGTGTAACACTCCAAAACGCAGCGTTCAAATTAGTGACTCCAAGTACTTGAACATTCAGCTTCCTAAGCATGGTCATGAAGTTCCCGAATTCTACCTCTAGCAGTCTTTGTGCAACCGAGTAGGGAAAGGGAGTTGAGGGATATACTCCTTCACCACTGGTTGCGTCTTAGGAGCAAGCACCTCAACCTCCTTCTCCAATTCTTCTTCAACAGCTGGAAATGCTGAAGCAGGTCTCTCTCCCGCTTGTCTGGCCAGGACATGTGAGTCTGCAGTCACTTTGTCGCTCCTTATAGTGATAGCATTACAGTAGGCATTCGCGTCCTTCTTATTAGGAATGATATGACCCGGCAAGGTACCTGGAGCCCTCTATGCCAATGCTTGAGCCACACTTCCCAGCTGGGTTAGGATATCCTGCAAAACAGCTTGTGTGTTCCTCTGGCTAGCTTCAAGGGCCAGGAATTTACTCGAGGCCTTTTCCATGAACTGCTCGATATTGCTGAATTTATGCGAAATGGAACTGGCAAGAGAACACACCAAGTCCAGCAGTTCAGCTGTCGGATTATTCTGCATTGGGGTTGCAAGAGCTGCACCTACATGGGCTGGTAGAGAGGCTGTTGTTGCTGCTGCTGGAAAGGTCGCGACTGTGGTTGAGCAGCCTGCCCTGCACGGGCTGGTAGAGAGGCTGTTGTTGCTGCTGGAATTGTCCCTGCCTAGGCTGATATGGAGGTCTCTTGAAGCCCGGAGGTCCCTGGGAGACTGGTGGCTTAGGAGTACTTCCACTCCAAGAGAAATTGGGATGCTGGCGCCACCCCTCATTATAAGTGTTGTTATAGGGGTAGAAACGCCTGGCATTGCCGATGAAGTCCAACTACTCATGGGGAGTAGTAAATTCCCTCATCGCCTGACAATCTTGTACATTGTGATGGGAGCTCTCACACCAATGGCAACGCATTACCTGTTGCTGTCCTGTAACTGGAACGATCCCAGCACGATCGATGGTCGAGACCAGCTTAGAAACAACCTGTTCCAACTCGGACTACTAGGTGGCTACAGCATGCACACCCCGACCTGGTGCTCGTCTCGATCTCCTAGCAGTTCCCCAGTCATATCCATGCTCTGTCATCTCTTCGAAGAGTCGATTTTACTGTGACGGCGTCTTAGTTAGCATGTTCCCGCCGCAAACCGAGTGAATCAGCTGCTTGTCTTCTGGGAAGAGGGCGTGGTAGAAGGTGCCCACCTTGAAGGCGTCATTGAAACCATGATTGGGACACTTCATGAAAAGATTGGTGTATCTTTCCCAAGCATCCCGAATGGTTTCATCCCCCTCTTGTGCAAAATCAGTGATCTGCTTCTACAGGTCCGCCATTTTTTATGGAGGATGATAGCGGGTGAGGAACTTGTCCGCCATATTGGCGAATGTAGTGATCGATCTCGGAGGCCGAGTGTCCAGCCACTCCTTGGCCTTCCCCTCCAAAGTGAATGAGAAGTTTCTCAGCTGGATGGCATCGGCAGGGACCCCATTTATCTTGATCCCATCAATCAGCTCGTGGTATCGCCGAAGGTGCGATCTGGGACACTCCCCCTTCTTTCCACGAAATACCACTAAGCCACGCAACATGGTCATGATAGAGGTACTCACCTCAATGTTGTTGGCAGCAACTTGAGGGTTTTAGATGAGGGACCTCATTTCTGCGGCTCTGGCGGTCTAGTAATAGCCCATGGTATGCTCCTCGGGAATGACCACATCATTGTTTTGTGGCTCACCCATGTCTTCCTCATGGTTGATGTGCAGCTGTGCTAGAGCCTCCTCTGCAGCCAGTCGCGCTTTTAAAGATCGCTTGAAGTTCCTATAAGTCTGTTCAAGCTCTTGGTCTAACGGCAGTAGTTCTCCTGACTGGCTACGGGTCATGTACTACCTGCTCACAGAATGCGAACACAACCCGTGAAGGAACACAGGTGGAAGAGAGAGAACGCAGTAAAGAAAATGCTTAAGTAACAGACTTTCACGTTTCTAAAATAACCTAGAAGGTCCCCGACAACAGCGCCAAAAACTTCACACGCTACGACACAACACCAAACTGCGACCAACTGTAATCGGAGAATGGAAATGCAGAATAGTGGTAAGTTTACTTTATCAACCCGGGGTCTAGATCTACTGCCTACTCCGTGATTATCTATTATATAGCGGGAAAGATTTAGTGAATGTGATTTAAAGCTAAAGCAGACAGAAAACAGTAAATTGTTCGAAGTTCTGAAGCAAAGGAAGAGTCACTCGGTAATGAGTCCCCCTAGCTCCATAGTTAGGTTCAAATTGTAATTTCCTTTGGTTGATTTACTGTTGATTAAACTGCGGAAGATCCGACAGTAGCTTGGAATCTCTTAAGCTGACCAAGCCCTCTCAGACAGACTACCCGGCAGACGACTAGTCTTCTCCGGGATAGAATGCTAAGGAAATTAACACAGAACTCCACTACTGGAATTGGATTCCAGTACAAAGCAGTGAATCGACTAACTCTCATATAATCAATTCACTACTACTGGCTGCTGATGCTCTAACAAACTAATCAGATTCAATTGACTCAGTAAACACACTTCAATCGATTATAATCAAATAGTATATCAATCCAAAAGTCATTACAATCAATATCTCTAACACATTGAACTAGGGTTCTTCATACCCAAGCGAGAGAGAGTTCTACTCCATAGATAGAGAGAGAGAGAGAGAGAGAGAGAGAGAGGAAAACCAAATACAAAGCATTCATACTCATAATGATGGGAAGAATCTGCTCTGGGATAATAATCTTCACTCCAAGGACAAAATCCAAGCTTGATTGATGAAACCCAGCTCTAAAATCAATTCTAGGGTTTGTTCTTCACACTTTCTCTCTCTAAGACTATGTTTTGGCTCTGAAAATTCGTCTCCCTATTCAAAGACCCAAAATTGGGTTAAAACCCAGTTCTGCCCTATCACACGGCCAGGCCTCACGGTCGTGTGAAATCCCCAACTGCCCGTGTAACTCTCCAAAACGCAGCATTCAAATTATTGACTCCAGGTACGCTACACGGCCGTGTCAAATTCCAGCCAGCCTGTGTGAAGCCTCTGGAAATCCCACACGGGCAAAAGTGCTCCTTACACGGCCCGTGTGGCTTTTCCCGTGCAAGGTAGTACCACACGGCCGTATGCATGTTTGTTAGGCCGTGTGGATTCCTCGGTTTTTTGTTAAACATCCCAACTTCGTCCAATCGATCCCGAACTCATGCCTAAACCTTCCTTCACGTACAGGACCTGAAATATCACAAACAAGAGCACCCTAGCTGAAATCGATTTAAAACACCAGAAATGAGTCTGAAACAGTATAAGAATGGTGGACAAAAACGTGTGTATATATCGAGTCATCAGGTTGATCGTGCGGGTTAGTCGGGTCAGGTTCTGTTTTGTCACCTATAATAAATATCAATCTGAGCCGGTCATGTACTGCTACTACGACTATTTGAAACATTATCTAGCAGATTGGATTTGGTGAAAACAAAGGTCTAAAACTAAATTGCTTTGTGAAGATAAAATGGATTTAACACTAGTTGAGAAAGCTTCACCCGGGTGTTGCTCCCCCTAGCTAACAATTATGACTTGAAGAATAGAAAGACCGTGTGTGTTTAGGGGGTCATAAATCGCAGGGAAGTCTAACAAGCAGCCAAAGCTACCCTCTTAGCCTTTAGGTTGGGGAATGGGATACGATCCAAGCCACTAATGTAACCCTCTAAACATATCAACTAAGGAATGGTTAGACTTCGCCGTCGAATTGGAGTTCGGACGGTTACCCACAACCAAACCCTAAGTGCTAATGCGAATTAGGAGGTTTTCCCTTTAACTAACCTAGAAAAGGAGACATAGAATGCCCCAGGAAACCCATCTCTAATAGAGCCTCTTAAGTTAAGGAGGGTTCTCACTAAACTAGTTTAGGAGGCATTGAATGCCCAAGGAAACCCGTCTCAAATCAAGCCCCTTTTGGGTAAAGGAGGTTTCCTGTCTAAACTAGCCTAGGAGGCATGAAATGGCCAAGAACATCCATCTCAAATTGAGCCTCTTAGCGTAAGAAGGTTTCCTCTCTAAACTAGCCTAGGAGGCATGAAATCCCCAAGAACACCCATCTCAAATTGAGCCTCCTAACCTAAGGAGGTCTCCTCTCTAAGCTATCTTAGAATGGCAATTAGATTGATAGGCTTTCACACAACACAATCATTTTTGAATAATACCTCCACATTCACATTAAAACACAACCACACACAAATCGTTCAATTCATACAAGCATTCACATAATTGTAGCTAGGGTTTACAAACAAGCAAGTGAAAGAAGGTACTAATCCATGCAAGGAGAAGGGAAAACACAAGAGAGGGAAAGGGAAACCATCAAGAAGATGCAATCCTTGCTCCTTGTGCTGAAGAAATCCTCCTTTGGGGAAGGAATTTCCAAAACCTTGTTTGGACATGAAACCCTAGCATTTCCTCTTCTTTGGTTCGTCACTTTCTCACTTTAAAATCTGAAGAAGGAAAGTTTCTAACTCTAGGTCTCTCCCCTTCTTCTTCCTTTCAGCTTTCCTTTTAAGTTGATATCGCGCCCAGTTCATGATCTGAGTTCACGGCCGTGAACATTGAAACGCGTCTGAGAACTCAGTGTTGAGACCAAAATGCACTGCTTCAATGGCTCGGGTTCAAGGTAAGTAGCCTCTTTTCATAGTCTTAGAGACCGTGAAAAGCCTGGGCGTCAGTAACCTGCAAACCCTCTTTGTTGGCTCCTCGGTTCATGGGTTCTGGCTCCATTTCACTGTCTTGTTAGACCGTGAACTCCAACGTCTGGCCATGAAAATTTGCTGTCTCCACCTCTTTATCCGATCTTTGCTCCTTTTCTTACAACTTTCGACTCTGGGTTAGGTTTTACCTGTTAGGATCTGAAACACACTGAAACACAAGCAACCTCGCATAAAACGTCAAAGAGAATTGGGGATAAAAAGTGCACAATTAGACCCGAATGGCTACGGGTCATGCATACTTGCACACAGCTGCAAGCACAACCCGTGAAGGCACACAGGGGGGAAGAAAGAAAATGCTAATAAGTAAATGTTAAAGTAACAGATATTCACTTTCTCCAATAACCTAGAGGTCCCTGGCAACGGCGCCAAAAACTCGACATGCTACAACTAAGTATAATCGCAGGGTGGAAATGCATAATAGTGGTTCAGGTTAAATTATCAACCCATGCTCTAGATCTACTGCTTACTCCGTGAACTTCTATTATCTAGCGGGACTAAGTGAGTGAAGTGATTCCATCGCAAAATAAATGAAAAGCAAGCAATGTTCTAGTTCTTTTCAAGTGCTAAAGGTCATCCAGGTTTGTTTCCCCCTAGTATGCAGCTAGTTCAGGTTATATGTTCCCAATTTACTCAGATTGACTGATAAACCGCAGAAAGTTCTTTACTGGTCTGGACTCTCGACTAAATATATCCAGACCCTCTCGCTTCAAATACCCGGCGGGTGACTAACCTTCACTGGCAAACACTAACTGAGGCTAACCACACGAAACTTCCACTACTGCTTTTGTTCCCGTACCGCCGTACGGAGCAGTGAATCGACTTCTCGACTAAAGAAGTCGATTCACCACTTTCAATTAAAGGTTTCTCTTTTAACTTATGCAGAGACTATCGTTCTACGTTAACGCCAGAATTACACAGGTTTGGTCAGGACTCATGCAATTCTGAATAATTCTTCAATTGACTTTATCAAATCAATCAATCGAAAATGGGATTCATACAATCATTCCTAACATTCACAGGTAGGGTTCTTCATACCGAGATGAAATGGAAAATTACTCCATGGAGAGATGTGAGAATGTCATGCTCAAAGAAGACATCGTCAAACTGACAATGGGAATCTACTCCTAGTGGCTAATCGATACTCTAAGGTTGAGGAATCGAGCTCTGAAGACTTCAGATTGCTCCAATCCTTGCCCAAGGGGTTCTCTTCGTCATCCCTTTTTATAGGTGTTGTTGTAGGGGTCGATGCACTTAGCATTGCTGATGAAGTCCAGCTGCTCCTAGGGGTGGTAGACTCCCTCATTGCCTGGCAGTCTTCCACCGTGTGGTGGTTGCTCTTGCATCACTGGCATTGCGGCACCTGATCATGTACCGCTCCACCAGAGATCATTCTAGTTTTGTATAGCTGCATGACCAACTTTGAGACAACCTGCACCAATACAGATGACCGGTTGTCTATAGCATGCACACCCCGGTCTGGTGCTCTTCTTGACCTCCTCGCAATCCTGCAATCATAACCCTGCTCTACCAGAGATGATTTAACTGCGGTGGCGTTTTGTTCAGCATATTCCCGCCACAGACCTAGTCAATCAGCTGCTTGTCTTCTGGAAAGAGGATGTGGTACACCTTGAAAGCGTCATTAAAACCATGGTTGGGTCACTTTAGGAAGAGGGTTGTATACCTCTCCCAAGCATCCCGAATGGTTTTATCCTCCTCCTGGGCAAAGTTTGCAATCTCTTTTTGCAAGTCAGCTATCTTGGACAGGGGGCGATAACGGGTCAAGAACTTGTTGGCCAAGTCAGTGAAGGTCGTGATGGACCCCGGAGGTCAGTTTTCCAACCACACCTTGGCCTGTCCTCCAGAGTGAAAGGGAAATATTGCATCTGAATGGCGTCCTACGGGACCCCTTTAATCTTGAATCCATCGATCAGCTCATGGAATCGCTGCATGTAAGCTCTAGGAAACTCGACCGATTTCCCAATGAAGACCACTAAGTCACGCAGCATGGTGATGACAGAGGTGCTCATCTCGGAGTTCTTAGCTTAAAATTGAGGGTGCTAGATGGGCGACCTCATGTTTGCGGCTCTAGCAGTCCAGTAGTATCACATGGTATGCTCATCGGGAACAATGTCCCCTCCATTGTCGGGTTCTCCCATGTCGTCTTCCTGGTTGATGTTCAGCTGCTACAAAGCCTCCTCCACAGCAGTCGCACCTTCAAAGCTCACTTGAACTAACGAGTGTTAAGAAAATTTCGTTCGAGCTCTTGATCTAACGAATATAGCTCTCCCGGATGGCTACGGGTCATGCACTACTTGCACACAGCTGCAAGAACAACCCGTGAAGGCACACATGGAGAAGAAAGAAAATGATATTAAGTAAATGTTAAAGTAACAGATATTCATGTTTCTCCAATAACCTAGAGGTCCCTGGCAACGGTGCCAAAAACTTGACACGCTATGACACAAGACCAAATTAAGATCAAGTATAATCGCAGAGTGGAAATGCAGAATAGTGGTTTAGGTTAATGATGACTCGATATTTGCACATGTTTTCCCCTTTGTTTCTTGATCGTTTTAGCTTGCATTATCACTTCTTTGGCCTATTTTACACTAGTTTGTGTTCCTTTGTCATAATTTAGGTCCTAGCACATAAAGTGAAGCATAGGCGCAAGCTTCAAGTAAATCGGAGATCAATTTGAAACTCGGGGGACGAAACTCGGGCATGACCTGAAGAAGAACGGATCTCTACCTCAATTTGTGACCATAGAATCATTCAAGATTTTCAAGAGGAGAAAGAGGACGAGACTACGCGCGTCTGGGATCAAATGACACCTGATTTGGAGTCCAAATGAGGGAGAAACGAAGAATCAAAGATAGGGGACCCGTAATTGCAAAATACGCGACCGGGTATTTTGACCACCTGATAGGGTATTTTTGGCAGCATCAGAAGGTACCCCGGTCGTGAACCAAAAATACCCGACCATTTTGTCCATAAAAGTGACCCGGAGCATTTTGTTGATACCCGACTGGTTCCCTAAATACCCGACCGGGCATATGGACCGGGTTTCGCGAACGCAGGCTGTTAAAAACCTGTTTTGTGCATTTTTGGAGGGGGGGAGCTGGGACGAACCAAAGAGAGAGAGGGTGATTGGAGGGCGATCTTGGAGTGAAATTGGAGGATTTCTTCGCCTTGGATCACGAGGAACAAGCCCGGACTTGAAGACTGATCATCTGAAGGTTCTTACTGCAGTTTCTCTCTTCTCTATGGAGTAACTTCTCTTGAAGAACCCTAGCCATTTTGTTTGATTGGATGATTGTATGAGTACTCTTACTTGATAATCTTGAGTTCATATTCAACCTATGCATGTTTTCATGATTCAATTCTGCTTTAGTCTAGATTATTGATTCTGCTTTGATCCTATGAGAGCGAATACCTTATTAGGTCAATAGAGCACCATAGATTGATAGTATTGGATCGATTGCTTTAGTCGAGGATTGATTCAATGCTTTGTATCGTTTGAGAACCTCATTCGATAGACGGATTCTAGTTCAGAACGCCTTGATCTGTTGTTCTAGAGAAGGATACGTCCCTCTAGGCAATTGGCTCAAGATGGCCTTGTTCCTTTGGTCAAGACTCAAGGTCTAGTTAAACAGGTTAGATATCATCAATCATTAATCTGGCTAGTGGCTAGGGGGAATCATACCTAAGTGAGTTCCCAACCTATAATTAGATTAACTTTAACTATAGTTTGCTAGAGTAGTTTTAGTTGTTCTATCTTAATCTGGTTTGCTAGATTATGAACTTAAGCTGAGTAATAGTAACTTTAAGGACCTGTGGATTCGATATTTATTACTTGAGCCACTATATTGCAGTCCCTTTCATTGGTTACACTTGGCCTTTGTTAGGAGTTGTGTGATAGCGAGTTAGTTAAATTATCGACTCAGGATCTATATCTAATGCCTACTCCGTGAACTTCTATTATCTAGTGGGACTAAGTGAGTGAAGTGATTCCAACACAAAAGAAATGAAAAGGAAGCAATGTTCTGGTTCTTTTCAAGTGCTAAAGGTCATCCAGGTTTGTTTCCCCCTAGTATGCAGCTAGTTCATGTTATATGTTCCCAACTTACTTAGATTGACAGATAAACCGCGTTCTTTACTGGTCTGGACTCTTGACTAAAGTTATCCCGACCCTCTCGGTTCGAATACCCAACGGGGGACTAACCTCCACCGACATACACTAACCAAGGCTAACCACACGAAACTTCCACTACTGCTTTTGTTCCAGTATAGAGCAATGGATCGACTTCTCGACTAAAGCAGTCAATTCACCACTTTCAATTAAAGGTTTCTCTTTTGACCAATGTAGAGACTATCGTTCTAGGTTAAAGCCAGAATTACAAAGGTTTGATCAGGACTCATGCAATTCTAAATATTTCCTCAATTGAATTTATCAAATCGATCATTCGCAAATGGGATTCATATAATCATTCCTAACATACACAACTAGGGTTTTCCATACCCAGATGAAATGGAAAATTACTCCGTGGAGAGATGTGAGAATGTTATGCTCAGAAAAGACATCGTCAAACTGACAATGGGAATCTGCTCTTGGTGGCTAATCGGTACTCCGAGGTTGAGGAATCGAGCTCCGAAGACTTCATGTAACACCCTAACCAGGCCGGGTACTACTTTTACTAAAATGTTCATGACAAATAAAATACTCAAATCTTAAATTGCAGCGGCAAAAATTTTCATAAATAAAATACTGAAAACACACTTGAAGTTCAAAGCAAAGCCCAACACGTGGGCAAATTAAACTCAAACTTTAAAATCTCGATCTGATCTCCAGTCTATACTCATAATCGTAAATCAATAACTAAAACTCTACTTTGTTGTATGCTCGGATTCGATCTCTGGCACCTCAAGTGACGCTTATACTGCTCTCCTCTAGCTGGCTGCCCTCGAACTCGCTGCTCACTAACTGCTCCTTTAGATCCTCTAGCTCTTCAAACTGGTGAGTGAGACGGGGTCAGTCTACGCCCTTACGTTTAACACTTTATTAATACTTGATCACTTTACTTAACTGAGTGGAAGTTGTTTTTTACTTCCACTATTAAAAAGCTTAACTCTTACAACTGTATGGCAGTTACTGTTACTCTCCATTCTTAAAGATCAAATCTTGACTTAAATCTTTTGAATGACTCAGGGATCCCTCACTAGCTAGTCTGGTTGCCAACTCATACGTATGAGAAGCCATCCAGGCTTTCCTTAAACTTAAACTTAGTTAGGGGAGTCGTAACGATTCATCCCCCTAACATCTAAAGCTTATCGTGGTGGCTCTTCACCACGATTCTCAAGAGCATAACTGCTGCTCTATCTCAAAATGTCTCAAAAGGCAACGGACTGGCGCTAGTGACTAAAAACACTTAAAAACGACTTCACCTTCTTGAAGGTGAGTTACTTCTTAAAAAGAACTTGTTTCTTAAACTTTAACAATAACTCATAACATAGCACTTTAAGGTAAATAGCACAAAATCACCACAAATAGCACAAAATCACCTCAAATAGCACAAAATCACCTTAATCATAGCTCAAGCAAAGCACAAATAATCAATCATACACATACTCAAGCAACGGTAACCAATTCGCTAAAATATTTAAAATCATAATACTTAAAAGAATACGTAAGGCATAGAATTTACCCCCTTTAAACTCACCTTATGTAACACCCTACCCTATATGTTTTGCCTAATCATATTGTTCATACAATTACAACGAAATTAATCTCGGGTGTACTTTAATTATCAAAATTTACCCAAATAAAATTTCGACATGAATTACTCGCGTAATGGGCTAACAGTTCTTGCAACTTATCTTGCAAAATAATTCATCACAAACATATTTACTCACAACCATATGCATTGGCTTTTCTTAGCCATAGTCACACTTTCATACTCCACAACTGCATACCATACTTATACATACCACAATTGTCACAACTTACACAGTTACACAATATATACACATATCATCAACTTTCCACACCCGTGGATATCTCACACTACATCAAAAGCTAGTATGCACATGAAAAACGTTCTCAAAACATTTTTTTTTACAAAAAGGTGTGGATCACTGGCCAAAATACCGAGTAGTAGTCCAAGCACAGAATAGTTGAAGACCATACCTCACCCTGGCTTCAACTCTAGCTCCTCTCCCACCTAACACTTATCTACTGCTGCTGCTGATGATCTGGTTGCACATAGCATAAGCAGAGAAGAAGAATAAAAGAGGGTCAGCTCATAGCTGAGTGAGATAATCATAGCATCGTGAGTTCAAAACAGAGCATACCCCTATCACACATCTATCAATCAAGCCAAAACACTTGGATCGGACCTCAGCCATCCTCATATCCCAATAGGCAAAAGACTCAACCACCTTGACTTATGCATATGCATCTTATCATGTTTTAACATATCATAACGGAGTAATAGCAAGGGGAGCCCTAATTACTATGTAATTGACCATGAGACCAAAGTACTCTTACTTGGTATCTTTATCCATGATCCATATCTCATTTTGCTTAATCATAATTCGCTACTTGCACATGTACTCGACCTGGCCACAATTGAATCAACATAGGTAAATCAGGAGTCGTATAATTGCACTTCCTCGGGATAAACCCTCGTGCCAGTCATCCTCCTTAAACGTCATAATATCACCAGGGAATATATATTTTCCCACATGTGCATCCAAATACAATAATCATAAAAAATCATACCCAATCACCTTTTCGAACCATCATAAGGCATATCAACAGTCAAGTCCACAAATTGCAACATGTATGCAATCATCAACATAAACAAGGTCCATATCGGCTAGGGCAAGTCAATAATATCATACAACAATCCATGCTTCATCATATAGCATAAAAGTCCATACACCCCTAATCATGCCATTCTAATTCACCTAAGTCAATTCTAAGCATCAATATAATTATCGTGATACGACAAACCCGGTATGCCGTGCTATTCCCTCACCAGTTCTGGTCGTTCAAACACCGGTTCTAGCCTCCCGTACTAAAACTTCAATTTCAAGAATGAACCCCAAATTAAAATCCGAGACCGTCCTAATATCCCATGCAGTATCCCCATCAATATTAGTTCTAGGCTCCGAATCAAATTCTCGATAGAAACACATCAAACCCTGGCCGGAGCTAAATTCAGCGATTTGGATCCCGACCTAAATAATTGCCGAAATTCAGGGATTAGAACTAGGGGATTGATTACCTCGCTGCAGGAAGCTCGTAGAAGAAATTTGGGCTCAATCCGGCTTCCGGATACTTCGAAACACTAATTTGACTTATCCAGAATTCAAGAAATTCCTGAACCAAAAACTCGTTTTAAAGCTCTTAATCGATAAATCACGATGTATAGATGAATTAGAAATTACTTACGGGATTTTTGGATCACTGTAGCTCAAGAATTAAGCTTTGCAATTTACTTCCTCGCGTCCCTTGAAGAGCCTCTGCTCTCGGTCCAGAAAATAGAACCGAAGAAGATGATAATGGACGGGGTGGGGGGAAGTTAATATATATGGAGAGGTCGCTTAATATATATATAATTAATACGTATACTTATCCGATCGATAATTCGATTTTTGTCGAAATAGTGTCAAAATACTCGATTTTAAATCGCGAACTTTCTAGCGATCGAAATATGGGTTTTACCGGAACGGGATGTTACACCTTATAGACGAAGTACCCCCACTTTACGTTGATCACCCACCTCCCGATATGAATGAGTCGACTAAATGAGGCTATTCGTGGTGTGGACGCCACAAATTCCCATGCCTTGACCAATCCTCGCTCCCTCGTAAAAAGTGGTCCAAAATATGTTGATAGTTAGCAAACATGATAATCACCCAATTGATCTCATCTAGTTCCCACTGATTTCCTTACGTAGGATTACTAACCCATGCTAGCTCCCATTTCTCTTGAATATACATATAACTACTATCCCATATTGCCCTTTCCATCATCACCTACGTCACTCTAAATTCCAAGGCCAAGTGGCTGGAAGCTACTTTAATCCCAACCCATCAACAGTTACCAATTCTATTTCCACAAGAAATTTCTATGCACTTCTCTTACTGTATAGAACAGGCACCAAATCCATGTCATTATCGCACTCGATGAAACCATAACCATTACCTCAATAACCTATATCGATCAGCACAAGAAACGATCAACAAGCAAAGAGCACAGGAGCAAGCGATGATTTACTCGAAACTAGTACCTCAATTATATTGATATTCCACCGATGCATTTTCGTACTTATCAACCAAATATGTCATGTCGAGACCACCTAGCCGGGTCGAGTTCCGTTGGGGCTTCATCGTAATCCTCTCGTCTGTCTCCATGTCACTCTTTCGTGTACAATCCTCTAATATTCATTATGAGAATTGTTGAATTGTTTAAGGGGTATGCTTATACTTTTCGTACCCATCAAAGATCAATTATTCTTGCACTCGGTTACTAGGGGTATGCTTACCACGACAACTACTTCTAGTTCCCAATTTAATCTCAACTCCACCATGGAAGCCAAGTACTGGAATAATTAACACCAAATATGGAACCAGAAAAGACAACCAAAGCATCGTTAGCTATTTGAGTTCGCCCTCTAATTGACGAATGGAAACCATTGCTGATTTTATCAGACAATTATTCCTACAACCTAAACATCTAAATTTCCTTGGAGCCAGAGTCGTCCCCCGCACGAGATACGATGCAATCATATTAAGGCTAAGAGTAAAGCGCAACGGTATAGACTGATATGTTACCTCCTAGGTCGGCTGAAGCATGGAAATGTAGCCGCACCACTGCCTTCCTCCAAATCCGAGCAGAAGCTGCCAAATCTCAGCCTCCGTCAAGAGCCACCACTCCTGGCCCTCTGCTGCGGCATAACCTCGACTTAATATGCCTTGGTCAAGATCTCCCTATGATCCTTTTTCTCCTGGCCCCTGTCATCTCTTCACCGATGATAGTTCTTTCAGTCCGCACCTCACCCGATTGATGTTCCCCCAGGTGGTCATCTACCCCTCTCTCCATTAGTTGCTTGGCGGCAACGGCAGACCTTTTCTTTATTGCGGAGAGATACAGGGCGTGGGTGGGAGCGGCGAGTTGTACATGCTGAAGTGCAAGAATGGGTTGGGGGTGTCTCGTACAGGTGGAACGGTTTAGCGGCTGCTTGGAAAGGTTGGGGAATAGAAATTGATCGGGGGAGGGTTTAATTGGTAGTGGTGAGGCCGAGTGGGGTAGGCAGTCTAGGGTTTTAGTTTGTCCAAGGTTATTTGTGGAAATTCACAATTACGGGTGAGTTTAATCCAAAACGCAATTATTGTCCGTAACTTTCTCATTTTATGTCGAAATTCGACACCGCTTGAACCGATAGTTCACATTTTTAATCCACATCGATAATACGGTGGAACTTGACCTAATGGTATAATAGTCATTTTGACTTTTGGGAAGAGCGGGGTGTAACATTTCCTCCACCCTTATAAAAATTTTGTCCCCGAAATTTGATCGGGCGCCTCCTTTCATACTCCTCATTCTCGTGCTTCTTTAGCTCAAGATTTCACTCTTTCTATATGAACTTCAATGGCGTGCCCTTACCTTGTCTTGAATAGCTTACTATAGTTCTTATATGTACTCTTGACCATAACATATATTCTCATCTAAGAAGTATAGTAAGCTATTAGAATAGGTTTAAGTGACTCATTGCCCTTTCAAAATTTTCCAACTTGGGCCCAGGGTGTGATGGAAAAAATTTTTGGCTCAATTTATTTGGTCCAACTGATTCAGTACTTGATGTTGAACCTATCGAAGTCGAGGTATCACATTTACTCCCCACTTATAGAAATTTCGCCCTCGAAATTCGTCCACTTTGATTACTCTAAGCATCGCTTGTGGTAATCCTTTTCACTTCGCGGATTTTCATTTCCTTTAACTTATACGACATGACCTAAAATCCTTCTCTCCATTCCCTGCAACTTCAATGTTGTTGTGGCTTCTTAACCCCTCACATTACCTCGGCTGCACCTTGTACATATATTGGAACGATAACTATCCATTCGGTACATAAGAAGTTAGTGCCCCTCTCCAACCACAAGGTCACTGATGGCGGTTTATCTTCCATTTAGTTAGATGGTAAAACTCTTTTGACGTAACTCTCGTCTAGGGTTGACCTCATAGGTCACCTAGGTCCTTGTATCTCCTAACTTTGCATCCCTTACTTTCCTCCTTGATGCCTCGTCTTATCCTTTAACCATAAACAGAGTGGTCATCTCCTCATTACTTCTTGCTTAACTCTGAAACCTCATAATAATGCTTTTACTTCATGTATGCATTAAAGGCATCCGTTGCATCTTTCTCTAGCTTGCGATCAACTTTACGACTCCTTTCAAGAATCATGACATTCTCTCTGGCTTACTTCTTAACTCATGGCGCCTAACTTAGCACTTCCTTATCGTTGCTTGAATGTTATGTTCTCGTACTATCCCTTCTGCCACTCTTGTACCCTAGCTGAAATTCATCGTACGGTTTCCCCGTCCAATAAGTTTTGATATGAGAGATCAACACCTTTCACCCGCATAGGCGATCTTGGCTTCCCTTTGGCGTACCCTATCAGATTCCCTAAACTCATATCCATATTACTTCTCTACTCGTGACTCTTCTCCTTGATGTTACTCGCTAGTTCTAGATGTCCCTTGTTCTCGATGTAGTCATCTAGGTTCTCATGTTATCTCCTCACTTATGTACCTTGACCTATAAGGTTCTCCCTTTGACTATTCTTGACGACCACGATTCCACCTTACAATTGGCTGAAATTTCTCGATGGACTTCCTATGGATTAACTGTACTCTACTAGTAATCAACCTAATGCTTTCTCGTTATCTGTTGTACTCCTGCTTTGGCTCGTCCTAGCTATCTTCCTTGACGCATACATCGTCAGGTTGATGCCAACCATTTTTTTTCTATAACTTCCCACTGTGTTCTTCTTGCTTCTTTACCTTTACTACCACCAAACTACAACTCTTTTGTTGTTGTTTGTACTATATTTGGTCACCAACCTCTGTTGAGTATCTTCTCGTTGTTGTTTTAGGTCACAACTTTCCAATGGTGGCTTGCCCTTGGTAACCTTTAACATAACTCATTCCATGTCTCTTTTGTTGATCGATCTTGTACATAAACTTAGTCTCTTAGCTAGGATTCTTAGTGGCTTAACTAAGCGTGCCTGTTTCATCCTTAACTAGTTGTCTCCTCTGGAGCCCTCCTACTATGCCGCGCCCACTCAGAGTGGGGCACCTTGGATAAGGTAACTTCTCTTTTTCCTCATTCTCGGTAATGCTTTCCCTCATCGTACCTCTTTGTGCAGCTTCTTGACCTCGAGTCACCTGAGACTTGACCCATTGACTTCTTGAAATCTCGTCAAACTCCCTCTGGCCTTTTTGCTCTTCCTTGGTATTGTTCGCAAACTCTCTTCATTACGACCGTTTAGACTCTTCCTCGAATTCTCCAACTTTCGTTAGAACTTCTAATGAACGTTGTACTTACTTTTCTATACCCGATTGATTGAATGATTTACTCCTACGGCTAGTTCCGAGACTCCCGCTCTTGGCCCTCTAGTTCCCACTTTAGACTTTCCCAATGGATTCCTTGAAATTCTACGATTTTCTGATTCTCCTTGATCATGGTAATTTGCAGGGTCTCTCAACCCCTTCCCATACCGTGTCCTCTAGCTTGCGCTTGACAGGTGTATAGCATGCCTGATCTAACCTCAACCTCTACATCATTTATCTCGTTCCTTGTCTAACTCATTCTAAAGGCTTGTCATCGGCCTAACCCCCAGGGTCGTGTACCCTCTTCTCTAGTGACGTAGTTTATCTATAAGGGTCCCTTTATCGTTATATGCAAATGACCATACCTCCTCTCCGCCTTGACCTTTTGACTTCTTGACGTCTTTTCATACTCCCTGTAACCTACTTATTTCCTCCTTTAGTTCATTTATACTACTCTAGCTTTTCTTGAAGTCTAAGATTTTCACTGCTCCTTGTCACTATGTTGTAATAGCGTTAACCACTAAAACTAGTTGAGGGTAGGGATGGCAATGGGGCGGGTTTGCTTAAACCATCCCCATACCCATCTTCAAATACCCAAACCCATACCCGCCCCATACCCATGCGGGGGAATGTTTGGCAAACCCATCCCCGTACCCGTGGGTTTCGGGTAACCATGGGTAATACCCATACCCGTAATCCAACATTATTATACCTAAAACTTACAAGAAAAGTTCTAATTATAACTCTAAACAAACATATTATATCACGAAGTCAACAAAACACGGTCATTTTTTTAATATGGTTCAAAGATTATGATCCTAAAATATCCTTTAATACATATTATAGAGTATAATATTTTTCAAATTTTTATGTTCTAACTCTGATACATCTACTAAATAATAATTAACTAACATAATCTTGTTACAAGGGGAAAGTGAAAGAGTGAAATGAGAATTGAGAGAAATGAATTAGATTTTGATTAAGGTGGTCACTCAATTACATTTCTACTATTTATTTTCTCAAGTTATCCTCTTCATCATTGATAGATTATAATTTGATCCACATATTTGTTTTTATATATGAAGAAATTATCTTGGTGGAGCGGGTATGGGGATGGTATGGGGCGGGGGAGGCTAAAACCATACCCGCCCATACCCATCAAACTTTTTGCGGGTTTTATCCATACCCACCCCATACCCGGTCAAAGCGGGGATTCCCCGCGTTGACTAGGTCGAGGGCGGTCGGATACCCGCGGCCATGGGTTTGATTGCCATCCCTAGTTGAGGGACTTCTCGTGGTACCTCTTTGTTTCGTAGCTCATTGCTTCCTCGCTACTCCTTAGGGTCAAGGACCCTGAAATCCTCCCATCATTATTGCTACTGACATCTAGTGACTATAGCTCTGTCTTTCGAGATTCATCGTTCTCCTACTTGTTTGCTTTTGCTTATTAGATCCACTCCTTGATGCCTAGTAGTAGAATCCTCGTACTACTCCTTCAACTCCTTCAAAATCCTAGAGGTATTTCCTTACGATTGGAACCTCTTCTATTAGAACTTTCGTTATTTACCTTAATACGATTATAGTAGGCTGGAGATTCTATAAACTCTTAAAAGAAGATTCTACTAACTCATGCTAGCTCCCATTTCTCTTGAATATACATATAACTACTATCCCATATTGTCCTTTCCATCATCACCTACGTCACTCTAAATTCCAAGGCCAGGTGGAGGAAGCTACTTTAATCCCAACCCATCAACAGTTACCAATTCTATTTCCACACAAAATTTCTATGCACTTCTCTTACTGTACGGAACAGGCACCAAATCCATGTCATTCTCGCACTCGATGAAACCATAACCATTACCTCAATAATCTATATCGATCAACACAAGAAACGATCGACAAGCCAAGAGCACTTGAGCAAGCGATGATTTACTCGAAACTAGTACCTCAATTATATTGATATTCCACCGATGCATTTCCGTACTGAACAACCAAATCTATCATGTCGAGACCACCAAGCCTGGTCGAGTTCCGTTGGGGCTTTATCGTAATCCTCTTGTCTGTCTCCATGTCACTCTTTCGTGTACAATCCTCTAATATTCATTATGAGAATTGTTGAATTGTTTAAGGGGTATGCTTATACTTTTCGTACCCATCAAAGATCTATTACTCTTGCACTCGGTTACTAGGGGTATGCTTACCACGACAACTACTTCTAGTTCCCAATTTAATCTCAACTCCACCATGGAAGCCAAGTACTGGAATAATTAACACCAACTATGGAACCAGAAAAGACAACCAAAGCATCGTTAGCTATTTGAGTTCGCCCTCTAATTGACGAATGGAAACCATTGCTGATTTTATCAGACAATTATTCCTACAACCTAAACATCTAAATTTCCTTGGAGCCAGAGTCATCCCCCGCACGAGATACGATGCGATCATATTAAGGCTAAGAGTAAAGACGCAACGGTAGAGATTGATATGTTACCTCCTCGGTCGGCTGAAGCATGGAAATTTAGCCGCACCACCGCCTTCCTCCAAATTCGAGCTGAAGCTGCCAAATCTCGGCCTCTGAATCTGGGTCAAGAGCCACCACTCCTGGCCCTCTGCTGTGGCGTAACCTCGACTTAATATTCCTTGGTCAAGATCGCCTCCGATCCTTTTTCTCCTTGCCCCTGTCATCTCTTCACCGATGATAGTTCTTTCAGTCCCCACCTCACCCGATTGATGTTCCCCCAGGTGGTCATCTACCCCTCTCTCCATTAGTTGCTTGCCAGAAACGGCAGACCTTTGCTTTATTGCGGAGAGATACAGGGCGAGGGTGGGAGCGGTGAGTTGTACATGCTGAAGTGCAAGAATGGGTTGGCGGTGTCTCGCACAAGTGGAAGGGTTTAGCGGCTGCTTGGAAAGGTTGGGCAATAGAAATGGATCGGGGGAGGGTTTAATTGGTAGTGGTGAGGCCGAGTGGGGTAGGCCGTCTAGGGTTTTAGTTTGTCTAAGGTTATTTGTGGAAATTCACAATTACGGGTGAGTTTAATCCGAAACTCAATTAATGTCTGTAACTTTCTCATTTTATGTCGAAATTCGACACCTCTTGAACCGATAGTTCACATTTTTAATCCTCATCGATAATACGGTGGAACTTGACCCAAGGGTATAATAATCATTTTGACTTTTGGGAAGAGCGCGGTGTAACACTTCAGATCACTCCAATCCTTGCCCAAGGGTTTCTCTTCATCACTTTCTCTCTAGGGTTCTTTTTCTGCCTTTAGAACTCATAAACTCCGGATCCCTTGCCTTTTCCCGAGCAACCCTTTTAAAGGCTGAGAATTCGCGTGTTACGACCTAAGTTACTGTCATAAGTTGGCTTGCCCTCCCGTAACTCTCTAGAAAATGACATCGTTGTTGCACTCCGTAAACCAAAAGTTACGGCTTTTTTGGAGGAGTTACTGCCTCGACCGTAACTTGAAGAGGGAGACCGTAACTCCAAAAATTCCTCTAGAATTAATGTCGTCGCTATCCAGGAGTTACGGTTGCAAAGGCTGAGTTACGGCCTAGACCGTAACTTTGAAGGTTTGCTCGTAACTCCAAAAATCTTTATAGAACTCTGCATTCTCCACTCGCCAGTTACGACTCCTTGAGGGGAGTTACAGGTTAGACCGTAACTCCCATGTGCTCGCTGCCCAGTCACTCCAGAATGTCCCGAAACTCGCTCCTTCGAGCCCGTTCACGCACTAAGGCTTAAAACATCATAAATCACACGCACAAGCGTAAAACAGGCCACGAGAGCGATAAACCAGTCTCAAAAGATCAAGAAATGATGGGGAAAACATGTTCGAATATAGTGTTATCAAATTCCCCCTCACATAACCTTTTGCTTGTCCCCAAGCAAACCGAATCAAACACCCGGTAAGCTCAAAAAGTTATAACCATGAAACCCTTGAGGAACATATCATAAAGGCACAAAATACGTGAATCATATTGGCCACTTGGCATCAACACAAGTGCAACTTCAACAGCAACCCGGACGACCACCACCGATGACATTCGAGTGTAGCAAAATTGGTTAAAGGAAGAGTCTCCCTTTTGTTCATTGACCTAGAAAGACTCGACTCAGCCACTCATTCAACACAATCACCTCATGCATATAATTCAAGACATCAGAATCAAGACCGAGAAATCTAGGTCCTCATCGCGATATATAATATGAAGAAAAATGAATCGCTCACTCTCGACCAGTGGGGCCAGGACAAAATTTGATGCAAGATGCGTGCATACTCATACTCTCAATCCTAACGTCTCTTCACCATGATGGCAGCCTCTAAATGCTAGAGTTCACTATAGGTGTCACCACTAACTAATCCAGAGGTCTTAGACACAGGTTCAGATGACTGGCTAGTGTCTTGGACATAAGAAAAAAACATTTTAGGTGGTGGGAGAATTCATAGCACAAGGTTCCACAGTTCCAAAACCAACAAAGTCACAATCATTCAAACCATTTACTTTCCTTCTGCCATTCTGCATTAATCCAGTCCTTTAGAGTACAAGAGTGAACGAGGTCACAATTATGCTAGTATTTCTAAGCCAGATCGCTAAGAAACACTACTTAATGGGCATGATTCAGATTTTTATGGTGGCTCTCTTTTGCTTTCATTTATTTTTTGCTTTCATTCTTTTTTTTTTTTCATTTCTTAAGAGAACCACCACCTTTGCACATTTTTACAAACACCTGCCCATCTTTTAAGAACTACCTCCAACCCTCATATTATTTCTCTAGCAGAAAAAGCAGAGAACATGCAAAAACCACTCTGTGGAACCTCTAAGAGATGCAAAAGGGTGATTTTTCATTGTAGATCGAAAGAAAGAAAGTTACACGGCTCAAAGGGGCTGACTAGGGGTATGACACCAGGACTAGTAATTTGGTCGTGGGCTAATCCTATGCCTCCATCATCCTAATTAGTGACAACGTGAATGCTACACATAATGGAAGAGGGATCTATCGCACAAGAAATAAACGAGTAGGTTCAAATCTCACATGGCTACCTATATGCTCTATCTCTCATTCTGATTCCCTGAACTAGATGCATAAACGACTGTAACAAAATGAGTAATCAATCCAAGTCACAGCTGGTAAACGAACAGTCGGAAAAAAAAAACTTAATCCCTACACAACTCTGCTGCATGTCTCATTCATCATTATAAGTTGTCCTAGTCGCAAGCAAGTTAACACGCATCCATTCTAATATGATCACCACATACAATCACAATGCCAATTATGATCATACAAACATCAGTACTTGGAGCCCTCAAATCTCGAGATTTGGACAGTGGACTAGGCTCCAAGCACACAAACATATCGTAGCCAAAGATAAACACCCCCAACCCACTTAAGCACGACATTTCCCTCAATGAAGAAGAGGGAAAGATAAGGGGAACGATGTTATCGAGAAAATGTACTACACTGAGACTGGAAATGGGACCAGTCAGTAGCAGCAGACTAAAAGGACCAGATCTACTGCCTACTCCTTGATTATCTATTATCTAGCGAGACTAGGTCTAGTGAGAGTGATTGTAAACAAAAGCAGAAGAAAGCAGGAAATTGTTCGATTTTCAAAAGCAAGGGGAGAGTCATTTGGGAATGAGTCCACCTAGCTCCTTAATTAGGTCAAGGTTGTAATTTCCTTTGGTTGATTTATTGTTGATTAAACTGCGGAAGATCCGACAGTAGCTTGGAATCACTTAAGCTGACCAAGCCCTCTTAGACAGACCACCGAGCAGACGACTAGTCTTCACTGGGATATAGAAGGCTAAGGCAATTAACACAGAACTCCACTACTGGAATTGGATTCCAGTATAAAGCAGTGAATCGACTAACCCTCGTATAATCAATTCACTACTATCGATTGAACAAGCTCTAACAACCTAATCAGATTCTATCTATCTCAGGTTGTAGCAGAAATCAAGAAAAGTTGATCAGGCTTCAATTGTCTTAAGAAATCATGACTCAATCGATTATAATCACACATTATAGCATCCAAAAGTCATTACAAACATGATCTCTAACACATGGAACTAGGGTTCTTCATACCCAAGTGAGAGAGAGTTCTACTCCATAGAGAGAGAGAGGAAAACAAAATACAAAGCAGTCATACTCATAATGATGGGAAGAATCTGCTTTGGGATGATAATCTTCACTCCAAGGATGAAATACAAGCTTGATTGATGAAACCCAGCTCCAAAATCACTCTTAGGGTTTGTTCTTCGCACTTTCTCTCTCTATAACTCTGTTATTGCTCTGAAAATTCGCCCCCCTCTTCATATGCAGTCATCCGATTGGTATACTCGGCCTGGTGAGCCGAGTACTGCTGATGGTCGAGGATTTGCTGGTTCTGAACACTCAGCTGCTGGAACTGGTGAGAGAAGTAATCTTAGGATGGGAACGCGGAGCTGTCACCCCCATGCTCATAGGTGCAAGGGTAGGGGGTAGGGTGGTCGGCAGCAGTGTCCACATCCTCTGGGTTAACGTCCTCGGGGGCAGCGTCTTGATCATCCGCAGGTGGGTCGCGACTGGTGAGGACTGGAAAGCCCTCAACCCACTTTACACCGCGGGAGACCCTCAGCAAGCGCATCTTCGAGATCGTGTCCTCTCCGAAAAACCAGGTGTCACTCTGCTCCGTGCAATCCTGATAGGGGATCTAGAAATGGTCGGCAAGCATGGTGATGAGTGGTGTACAGTGGAGGTTCCCCAGAGTCTGCGCACTCTTGGCGATAGTCCTCGCCACAACAGATCCTAGATGGAGGTTATGGTGTCGAGTGCGGATCGACTGGATGAATTAGAGAGACCGCTTGGTCAGGCTGCTGGCACTCTCTCCAGCCGGAGTATAAGACTTTGTGAGCAGGTGGTGGAGTAGGCGATTCTCTATCTACAGAGTGCTTGCCTTCATCCGACCAAGAGTGAAGGGGTCCTAAGCTGGCTGAGCTAGCTGGTGGTACAGAGTCGTGAAGGAAACACCATCTGTATTAAAGACCTCGACGACATAATCCTCGCTAACGTCCATGTCGAGGTCGAAAGTGGTAGCAAACCCGTGGTAGCTCATTGAGCGAGGTTCACCGCCCAGCCTGAACTTGATTGTCGCGCTGTCCTTCCAATCGTTGATCTCGGTGTGCTCAAAGGTGGTGTAGAACTCAAGCACCAACTCGTAGTAGACCTTCTCGTGCACAGTCAAAAAGCGGCGCCATGCTCGGTTGCGAGCAACAGAATGGAGGGCATCGTAGCAATTCAACTTCTGGAATTCCCTCTTGCTCCAATAATAATGCTTCCCGAAATTAGACGCCACGACGCTCTTGAATTTGTCCTTGTGGGCGCCCGAACTCAGATCACTGATGAACCGATGCCTAAGGTTTGGCTTCGACATGTTCCTGCAAGAAAGTGCACCGAAGTGGAGCCAAAAGAGCCATGGGAAAGGTCAATCACACCCCCACACTTAATAGTAGAAAACAGCCGAACCATAGTATCATCCATAATTCGGGGGTTAATAACTCTAGCAAACAAGTGCAATCTGGGTGGGGGTGAACATCAACAATGTAGTAGGCAACTTAAAGTTCACATCCATAGCAAAGACACCATCGGATCACATCATTAAGGGCCCCAACCGGCTCCCACATAATGGTATGAAAACTGGCATTTCATCGAATACCTTGTGCGCACTATTAAATTAAGCAAAGATTTGATGAATTCCTAGCACACAAGGGCCCAAGCCTTCCCCTTGATAAATTGCAATAAAATCGCACATTTCAAAGTGATTCTCTGGAGACACAAGTAGAGATGTAGGGTATGATGAGGGGAAGGCAATGGAAACGACGAAACCCCAAAATTCTGCCCTAAAATGCTCGTTGGAGTCCCGACGGAAATCGCCACCGGCGACCCAAATCTGGCCCAAATCGCCTCAAATAGAAGGGAGAGGTCGGAAAGGGGGTAGGAAAGATGGATTTTGAAGTTGGTTTTGTGAAGAACCGACAAAAAATGGCTGGAAATCGCCAAAGCAACGAAGGGGTGCGATTTTTCGGCGAGAGGGAGAGGATTCCGGCGAGTATTCTGGAAAAAATGACCCACACGACCGCGCGACCCCTTTTTATTGGTGAACGGATCCCCACACGGGCAAGCCACACGGACGTGTGGGTGTAATTCCTCCCCGTACGCGGCCGAGAAATCCACACGGCCTGGCCGAGGAAACCACTCAGCCTTGTGGGGCGCCATTTTGCCCGTACCATAATTCAGGGGGCTACGCACGGGGAAAAGTGAATTCCACGCGGCCGTGCAGAAACATGGCATGGCCGTGTGAAATTCCAAAGCCCCATATTCGACCAGTTTTTTGCGAAAAAGCGGCATCCGAACCTTTGACAGCACCTGACAACTCAAAAACACAAAGATTAAAAAGAAAAAGAAAATGAAATGCAAACCATGGTGGGGTTGCCTCCCCACAAGCGCTTCTTTACCGTCTTTTAGCTGGACGCCAGTAGAGGAATTAAGGGTTCTCGATCTTGATCAGCAACTCTGCGCGTTCGACATCACCTCCAAAATACAACTTCAAGAGGTGGTCGTTCACTTTGAACGGCTCAGTTTGACCATTGCTGATCTCCACCACACCGTGCGGGAATACTTGGTGTAACACCCTACCCTATACGTTTTTCCTAATCATATTGTTCATACACTTGCAGCGGAATTAATCTCGGGTGTTACATTAATTATCAAAATTTACCCAAATAAAATTTCGACATGAATTACTCGCGTAATGGGCTAACAATTCTTGCAACTTATCCTGCAAAATAATTCATCACAAACATATATACTCACAACCATAAGCATTGGCTTTCATAGCCATAGTCACAGTTTTCATACTTCCTAACTACATACCATACTTATACATACCATAATCGTCACAACTTACACAGTTACACAACATATACACATATCATCAACTTTCCACACCTGTGGATATCTCACACTACATCAGAAGCTAGTATGCACATGAAAAACGTTCTCAAAACATTTTTACAAAAAGGTGTGGATCACTGGCCAAAATCCCGAGTAGCAGTCCAAGCACAGAATGGTTGAAGACCATACCTCATCTTGCCTTCAACTCTTGCTCAGCTCCCACCTATACACCTATCTACTGCTGTTGCTGATGATCTACTTACACATAGCATGAGCAGAGAAGAAGAATAAAAGAGGGTCAGCTCATAGCTGAGTGAGATAATCATAGCATCGTGAGTTCATAACATAGCATACCACTACCATACATCTAGCAAACAAGCCAAAGCACTAGGATCATATCTCAGCCATCCTCATATCCCAATAAGCAAAAGACTCAACCACCTTGACTTATGCATATGCATCTTATCATGTTTTACTTATAGGCGCCTGGCTACTCCCATGCTAATAACTCTCCCGGGAAACATACCCCACATCCCGTCGGATGTAGTCATACATACCCCAACATCCCGTCGGATGTGGTCAACATACCCCACACCACTATGGGTGTAGTCATACCCCGACACCGCTCTGGGTGTGGTCATATCTCATAAGAATTCTTCAGTCACCACCACATGAGAGGTGTGACTATCATACATATCATAATAGAGTAATAACATAGGGAGCCCTAATTACTATGTAGTTGACCGTGAGACCACAACCCTCATATTTGGTATCCTTATACATGATTCATATCTCATCTTGCTTAATCATAATTCATTTCTTGGACATGTTCTTGACCTGGCCACAATTGGCTCAACATAACCAGGAGTCGTATAATTGCACTTCCTCGGGATAAACCCTCGTGCAAGTCATCCTCCTTAAAACATCATAATATCACCAGGGAAAATATATATTTTCCCACTTGTGCATCCAAATACAACAATCATGAAAAATCATACCCAATCACCTTTCCGAACCATCATAAGGCATATCAACAGTGAAGTCCACAATTTGCAACATATACACCATCATCAGCATAAACAAGGTTCATATCGATTAGGGGAAGTCAATAATATCATACAGCAATCCAGGGTTCAACATATAGCACAAAAGTTCAAACACCCCTAATCAAGCCATTCTAGTTCACCTAGATCAATTCTAAGCATCAATATAATTATCGTGATACGACAAACCCGGTATGCCGTGCTAATCCCTCACCAGTTTTGGCCGCTCAAACACCGGTTCTAGCCTCCCGTACTAAAACGTCAATTTCACGAACGAACCCCGAATTAAAATCCGAGACCGTCCTAATATCCCCTGCAGTATCCCCGTCAATATTAGTTCTAGGCTCCGAGTCAAATTCTTGCTAAAAACACATCAAACCCTGGCCGGAGCTAAATTCAGCGGTTTGGACCGCGGCCTAAATAATAGCCGAAATTCAGGGATTAGAACTAGAGGATTGATTACCTCGCTGCAGGAAGCTCGTATATGAAATTTGGGCTCAATCCGGCTTCCGGATACTCCGAAACCCTAATTTGCCTTATCGGGAATTCAAGAAATTCCTGAACCAAAAACTCGTTTTAAAGCTCTAAATCGATAAATCACGATGTATAGATGAATTAGACATTACTTAAGGGATTTTTGGATCACTAGAGCTCAAGAATTTGAGCTTTGAAATTTCTCCCCGAGCTCCCCTGTTTGCTCTGCTCGGCTCGCTCTGTCTCGTTTCCTCTCGGTGGAAAGTGGAAAGAAGATGAATTTGAAAAGTAATGGAGATGGAAATGGACGGGGAATGTTAATATATATGACCGGCCATTTAATATATATATATATATATATAATTAATACGTATACTTATCCAATCGATCGATAATCCGATTTTCGCCGTTATAGTGTCGAAATGCTCGATTTTAAATCGCGAACTTTCTAGCGATCGAAATACGATTTTAGCCGAAACGGGATGTTACACTTGGGTTATCGTGAAGGGTCCCGACCACCTCGAACGAAGGTTGCTCGGAAAGAGTTTTAGGCGTGCATTAAAGAGAAAAACACGGTCACCTACCTGAAACTCCTTCGGACCCTTCAACCGAGTGTCGTGGAGATGCTTCGTTCGCTCCTTGTAGAGCAGGGTGTTCTCGTAGGCGTGGAAACGCCATTCCTCAACCTCCAGCAGTTGTAGCATACATTCTGTACCTACAACACTCAAATCTAGATTTAGCAGCTTAAGGGCCCAGAAGGACTTGTGCTTTAGCTCTATTGGCAAATGATAAGCCTTCCCATAGACAATCCTATATGGTGAAGTACCAATCAGGGTTTTGTAGGCTGTCATATATGTCTAAAGAGCATCATCGAGCTTGGTGGACCAATCTTTTCGGGACTGATCCACCGTATTTTCAATTATTCTCTTAAGCTCCTAGTTCGTCAGCTCGGCTTGACCATTCGCCTGGGGATGGTAAGCCACCATAACGAGAGAGGATCTTAGTGAATTTCCCTTGAAAATGGGTCCCCCTATCACTTATGATGGCGCGAGGTGTCCCGAACCGGGAGAACATCTGCTCCTCAAATGAGCAGACCCGTCTTGCATCATTGGTGGGCATGGCTTGAGCTTCTGCCCACTTCGAGACGTATTCTACCGCAACAAATATGTACAAATTACTGAAATATGGAGGGAATGGCCTATGAAATCGATGCCCCAAACATAAAAATTTTCACAAACAACAGATATATATTGGGGCATCTCATCCCGGGAAGAAATGTTACCTAACCTCTGGCAGCGGTCGCACTGTCGTACGAAGGTGTCTGCATCCTGGAAGAGCGAGGGCCAGTAGAAGCCCGACTGTAGCACCTTCCGTGCCGTGCGGTTTCCTCTATGATGACCGCCGGTAGGTCCCTCGGGGCATTAAGACAGGATGTCTCCCATCTCATGCTCCATAACGCAGCGCCGGATCACGCCATCTGCTCTGATCCTGAAGAGGTAAGGATCCTCCCAGAAATAATGCTTCAGGTCAGAGAAGAACTTGCACTTTGCATGTGTGGCGATCCCCTTAGGAACCTGTTTTCCCACCACATAATTGGCAAAGTCAGAATACCAAGGGGTAACACTCTCGACCAAGGTCATCACCAGCAATCGCTCACCCGGGAAGGAGTCATTGATATCTTCCACGAAGTTGTCCACCGGAGGGGCTTCCAACCGTGAAAGATAATCTGTAGCAACATTTTCGAATCCCTTCCTGTTGACTCGCTATGACATAACTCCTAACAATGGCCAAGTGTAACCAATGAAAGGGACTGCAGTATAGTGGCTCAAGTAATAAATATCGAATCCACTAGTATGATTCCCCCTAGCCACTAGCCAAATTCATGATTGATGATTTCTAACTTGTTTCACTTTCATTCACAATGCGGAGAATCCTTGACTATACCTTGAATCTCGACTAAAGGATCAAGGCCCTCTTGAGTCGATTGCCTAGAGGGACGTATCCTTCTCTAGAACAACCGATCAAGGTGTTCTGAACTAGACTCCCTCTATCGAATGAGGTTCTCAATCGATACAATACTATCAACCCTCGACTAAAGCAATCGATCCAATACTATCAATATATGGTGCTCTATTGACCTAATCAGGTATTCGCTCTCATAGGATCAAAGCAGAATCAATAATCTCGACTAAAGCATAACTGAATCATGAAAACGTGCATAGATTGAATATGAACTCAAGATTATCAAGTAGGAGTACTCATACAAATATCCAATGAAACAAACATAGCTAGGGTTCCTCAAAACCTGCAGTAAGAATCTTCAGATGATCAGTCTTTAAGTCCGGGCTTGTTCCTCGAGCTTCCAAGGCAAAGAAATCCTCCAATTCCACTCTTAGAATGCCCTCAAATCGCCCTCTCTCTCATTGGTTCGTCCCTTGGGTGTTTGGGATCCAAAACCCAGCTCTCTCTTGCAAAAATGCACAAAAAAGGCTTTTAACAGCCTGCGTTCGCGATCCCCGGTCAGAATACCCGGTCGGGTATTTAGAGAACCAGTCGGGTATCAACAAAATGCTCCGGGTCACTCTTCTGGGCAAGAGGGAAAATACCCGGTCGGGTATTTTTGGTTCACGACAGGGGGACCTTCTGATGCTGCCAAAAATACCCTATCAGATGGTCAAAATACCCGGTAGGGTATTATGGTCGGGTATTTTGCAGTTCCGGGTCCCCTATCTTTGATTCTTCGTTTCTCCCTGGTTCGGACTCCAAATCAAGTACCGTTTGATCCCAGACGCTCGTAGTCTCATCCTCTTTCTTTTCATGGAAAGATTGCATGATTATATGGTCACAAACTGAGGTATAAATCCATTCTTCTTCAAGTCATACCCGAGTTTCTTCCCCCGAGTCGCCAATTGATCTCCGATTGACTTGAAACTTGCGCCTAGGCTTCACTTTATGTGCTAGGACCTAAAATGTGATAAAGGAACACAACCTAGCATAAAATAGGCCAAAGAAGCGATAATGCAAGCTTAAAAGATCAAGAAACAAAGGGGAAAACATGTGCAAATATCGAGTCATCAAATCCCCCCACAAACCGTTTGCTTGTCCACAAGCAAACCTAACTCAAACCAATGCAGCTCTCAAGAACTCTATAGCAACATGCACCCTCGATCGTTGATAGAGGATTTTCTAGATCATTTAGCAGCTAACAAGGTCAACCGACGCATAAGTCATCTCATAGCTTCTTCGGCGAGAACGCTAGTCTCGAGTTGGCATCATGGCAAATAGTGATCCGAGGACAAATGAATCGTGGACGAATGGACTATCAAAAACAAAAGATCATGGACTCTCATTTTTAAGGTGCTCTATTTTCTTCTTGGAGATGGTTGGAACACCTTTTCTTTCTTTGTTTTCCCTTGTTTTTCTGTTTTTCAGAAAATGGGGGCTCTCACCTAGCAGAGGTTTTGCGGGAGCCCGGCTCTTACCGGCCATGCCAGGAGAGGATGTCTCGAGCCTCGTGCGGAGGAAAGATATGTAAGAGGGCTGGAGGTCGTAGGTGGAAATTGGGAACGGATTCCCATCTCCCCTTACACACTTTCGCCCTATTCGCACGGGAGACGTTATTTTAAAACACATTTTCGAGCACCATTTATTTCAAAACATTATACAAGAGTCCATGACGGGTAGAGAGTTCACAACACCACACAATTCAAGGTTCCTAAGATCACTAATTCACACAATCAACCAACACAAATATGAAGAAGAAAGGAGACTTCTTAAATGCATCAACATCCTCCATAGTGCTACACTACCTCCCTAGGTTGCACATTACTATAGAGACTGTCAATTCAAAGCATACTAAACAGGCAATTGCAAGGAACACGTACTTGGAGCCCTCAAATTTAAAAATTTGGACAGTGGACTAGGCTCCAAGCGCACAAACAGATCTAAGCATTCACACGCATACATAATCGAACACCCCCCACACTTAAGCACGACATTGTCCTCAATGGAGAAAAGATAAGAAGTTGACACGCCAAAACATAACACCAAACTGCGACCAAGTGTAATCGCAGTCCGGGAATGCAGTAAAATGGCAAGTTCTATTATCAACTCGGGGTCTAGATCTACTGCTTACTCCGTGATTATCTATTATCTAGCCAACTAAGTTAAGTGTTTTTTGTTTTAAGCAAAAGCATAAAGAAAGCAGGAATTGGTACGGTTTTCTCAAGCAAAGAAGAGTCACTCGGGAATGAGTCCCCCTAGCTCCTTAGTTAGGTCTCAATTGTAATTTCCCTGGGTTTATTTACTGTTGATTAGACTGCGGTAGCTTGGAATCTCTTAAGCTGACCAAGCCCTCTCAGTCTAACTACCCAGCAGACGACTAGTCTTCACCGGGATAGAAAGCTGAAGCAATAAGCACAGAACTCCACTACTAGAATTGAATTCCAGTACAAAGCAGTAAACTGGCTAACTCTCGTATAGCCAATCTCCTACTACCGAATGATGAGGCTCTAACAACCAAATCAGATTCTATCTATCTTAGGTTGCAGCAGAAATCAGGAAAAGCTTATCAGACTTCAATTGACTCAATAAACATGCATCATTCGATTAAAACCAAACAGTATAATCATCCCAAGTCATTACAATCAAATCCCTAACACATGGAACTAGGGTTCTTCATACCCAAGTGAGAGAAGGTTTCTACTCCATAGAGAGAGAGGGGAAAACAGAATACAAAGCAGTCATACTCAGGAAAAAATCCCAAGTTACACATGTTTTTAAAAAAAATTCTCAAAATACACATGTTATGAAAATAATTCCCAATCTACAATTCCCAATCTACACATGTTTGGGCCTTCACCGCGTCAGAGAAGGGCGGTGATTGCTTCACCGCGTGAGAGCAAAACGGTGATTGCTTCACCGTGGGAGAGCAAGACGGTGACTGCTTCACCGTGGGAGACTAAAACGGTGATTGCTTCACCGCGTGAGAGAAAAACGGTGAAGCACTGAACTGCGTCCAAACTTTAAAACAACGTAACTTTGTGCTCGGTTATCCGATCGTAGCGATTTTTTTTTGATTCCGCATAATTTTTCGAGATCTTGCAAGCCGCAAACAGCCAGAGGCGGTTTGGTCCCGCCTTCGTCTCGAAAAAATGTCGTTTGCTACCCCGAACGACCCTTTTTTCGATTTCGTCAAACTTTGAACGACCATAACTTTGTGCTCCACAATCCAAAAATCATGAATTTTTTTTTGATTCCGCATAACTTTTTAAGGACTAAAATTTTTAGTAGGAGAGAATTTTCAAAAAATGAATTATTTATGGATATAAGGGGTTTTGGGAATAACTTTACCTTCCCTTTTCATGAATCCAAGTGCATTCCGAAATTATGTCTATGATAAAAATTGTAGTCCTTAAAAAGTTATGCGAAATCAAAAAAAAATTCATGATTTTTGGATTGTGGAGCACAAAGTTATGGTCGTTCAAAGTTTGACGAAATCGAAAAAAGGGTCGTTCGGGGTAGCAAACGACATTTTTTCGAGACGAAGGCGGGACCAAACCGCCTCCTGCTGTTTGCGGCTTGCAAGATCTCGAAAAATTATGCGGAATCAAAAAAAAATTCGCTACGATCGGATAACCGAGCACAAAGTTACGTTGTTTTAAAGTTTGGACGCAGTTCAGTGCTTCACCGTTTTTCTCTCACGCGGTGAAGCAATCACCGTTTTAGTCTCCCACGGTGAAGCAGTCACCATTTTGCTCTCCCACGGTGAAGCAATCACCGTTTTTCTCTCACGCGGTGAAGCAATCAATGCCCTTCTCTGACGCGGTGAAGGCCCAAACATGTGTAGATTGGGAATTATTTTCATAACATGTGTATTTTGAGAATTTTTTTTAAAAACATGTGTAACTTGGGATTTTTTCCTCATACTCATAACAATGGGAAGAATCTGCTCTGGGATGATGATTTCCACTCCTATGACGATCTCCAAGCTCGATTTGATGAAACCCAGCTCCAAGATAGCTTCTATGATGTGTTCTTCGTACTTTCTCTCTCTAGGGCTCTGTTTTTGCTCTGAAAATCCGATTCTCTCACTTTCTCTCTCTAGGACTCACACGGGCAGGCCACACGATCGTGTGGCATACTCAGTTGCCCGTGTGAGGTCAAAACGCCGCGTTCCAAGTAATTGGGTTTCAGGCTTCCCACACGACCAGGGTCACACGGCCGTGTAGCTCACCCAGCCTGGCCATGTGAAACCTCGCAGAATTCCACACGGCCAAACTGCAACTTCACACGGCCGTGTGGATTTTACTTGTGCCCGTGTGAAGGCTCGCCCAATCCCACACGGCCTCCTTGGTCACTTGCACAGCCGTGTGAGTTGTGAGTGTGCCCGTGTGGCTTCCTTTGTGACTTGCCTCGCGCCCGATCTTCGTCCAATCGACCCCAAACTCGCTCCTAAACCTTCATTCACTTGCTAGGACATGAAATATCACAAACAAACACAACCTAGCGTGAAATCGGCCTAAAACACGAGAATCAATACCTCAAACGGCTCCAGAATAGGGGTAATAACATGTGCAATTAACGGCTTACCAAACTCCCCAACACTTAACCGTTTGCTTGTCCCCAAGCAAACCAAGTCAGACACAAGGTAAGCTCACATATTTCAATCAACCAACATTGGGGACAAATCATATAGGCACAGAGACACGTGAATCATACTGGCTTTCAAACATCAACACATGAACAACCTCAATAGCAACCTAGACAACCACCACAGAAGACATTCGAGTGCGGCAAAATCGAGTAAAGGAAGAGTCTCCCTTCTGTTCATCAACCAACCTAGACTTGACTCAACCACTTACTCAAGACAGTCAACTCATGCATAAAACTCAAGACATCAGAATCAAGACCGAGCCATCTAGGTCCTCACCGGGTAAAGAGTGTAAAGAACAAGGAAATGAATCGCTCACCCTCGACCAGTGGGGTCAGGACAATTTGATGCGAAAAATGCGCATACTAATTCTCTCAATTCCTAACATCTCTTCACCATGACGGCAGCCTCTAAAGGTTAGAGTTCACATAAATGGTTGTCATCACTAACTAATCAGAAGGTCTTAGACACAGGTTCAAATGACTGGCTAGGATCTTGGACATGGGGAAAAGGCCTTTTAGGTGGTGGAAGTATTCATAGCACAAGGTTCCACAATTCCAAACCCAACAAACTCACAGTCAATCAAACCAGTACTTTCTTTCTGCTATTCTGCATTACTCAAATTCAGAGCACAAGAGCGAAGGAGGTCACATAAATACCAGTATTTCTAAGCCAGACTGCTAAGAAACACTACTTACTGGGCACTATTCAGATTTTTGGTGGTGGCTCTCTTTTGCTTTCATTTTTTCTTTGTTTTTCTTTCATTTTTTACATTTCTTAAGAGAACCACCACCTCTGCACATTTTCAAACATCTGCCCAACTTTTTAAGAACTACCTCCAACTCTCACATTATATTTAGCAGAAACAGCAGAGAACATGTAAAAATCGCTCTGTGGAACCTTCTAAAAGATGCAAAAGGGTGACTTTTCATTGAAGACCGAAAGAAAGGATAACACACGGCTCAAAGGGGCTGACTAGGGGGTATGACACACCAGGACAGTCAATTTGGTCGTGGGCTAATTGATAGACCGTTAATTACACATGTTTTTACCCCTGTTCTTACACCGTTTGAGATGTGATTTCTCGTGTTTTAGGCCGATTTCACGCTAGGTTGTGCTTTTTTGTGATATTTCAGGTCCTAGTACGTGAATGGAGGCTTGGGAGTGAGTTTGGGGTCGATTGGACGAAGATCGGGCGCGAGGCAAGTCAAAAAGGAGGCCACACGGGGACACCCACAACTCACACGGCCGTGCAACTCATATTTGTGGCCGTGTGAGATTGTGCGAGAGCAAACACGGCTTGCCCTGATATCCACACGGCCGTGTGAAGGAGTGGCCTGGCCGTGCGAGTTTCGCCGAGAGCAAACACTGGCTGATGGAAATCACACACGGCCGTGCGACCCTGGCCGTGTGAGAAGCCTGAAGATCGAACTAATTGGAACGCAGCGTTTTGACTCACACGGGCAACTGGGTATGCCACACGGTCGTGTGGCCCTGCCCGTGTGAGTCGGGAATTCCTGGTTTTAACCCAATTCCGGGCTGCAAGAGAGAGGATCAGACTTTTTGAGCAAAAACAGAGCCCTATAGAGAGAAAGGACGAAGAACACACCCTAGAAGCTATCTTGGAGCTGGGTTTCATCAAATCAAGCTTGGAGATCGTCATAGGAGTGGAAATCATCATCCCAGAGCAGATTCTTCCCATAAGTATGAGTATGACAGCTTTGTATCTTGTTTTCTTCTCTCTCTCTATGGAGTAGAACCCCTCTCTCACTTGGGGATGAAGAACTCTACTTCTATGTGTTAGGGATTGATTGTAATGACTTGGGATGAGATTACTGTTTGATTTTAATCGAATGATGCATGTTTATTGAGTCAATTGAAGTCTGATTAACTTTTCCTGATTCCTGCGGCAATCTGAGATAGATAGAATCTGATTAGGTTGCTAGAGTCTCATCATTCGGTAGTAGGAGATTGGCTATACGAGAGTTAGTCAGTTTACTGCTTTGTACTGGAATCCAATTCCAGTAGTGAAGTTCTATTCTTACTGCTTCAGCTTTCTATCCCGGTGAAGACTAGTCGTCTGCCGGGTAGTTAGACTGAGAGGGCTTGGTCAACTTAAGAGATTCCAAGCTACTGTCGGATCTTCCGCAGTCTAATCAACAGTAAATCAACCCAGGGAAATACAATTGAAACTTAACTAAGGAGCTAGGGGGACTCATTCCCGAGTGACTCTTACCTGCTTGAGAAAACCGTATCAATTCCTGCTTTCTTTCTGCTTTTGCTTTTAAACAACAATATCACTTACTTTAGTTGGCTAGATAATAGATAATCACTGAGTAAGCAGTAGATCTAGACCCCGGGTTGATAATATAACTTGCCTGTTACTGCATTCCCAATCTGCGATTACACTTGGTCGCAGATTGGTGTTGTGTTTTGGCGTGTCACTAATCCTATGCCTCCATCATCTTAGCTAATGACAACGTGAATGCTACACATCATGGAAGAGGGAACTATCGCACAAGAAAGAAACGAGCAGGCTCAAATCTCACATGGCTACCTATATGCTCTATCTCTCATTATGATTCCCTAAACTAGATGCATAAGAGACTGTCAAGAACAAGTAATCAATCCAAGTCACAGTTGGTAAGCAAACAGTTGAAAAACTGAACCCTACACAACTCCACTACATGTCTTAGTCATCATTATAGGTTGTCCTAATCACCATCCAGTTGTCATGCATTAATCCGAAAACCATTCAATTCACCAATCAAAACACAGTGCCAATATGATCAAACAGCCGTACTTGGAGCCCTCAAATCTCGAGATTTGGACAGCGGACTAGGCTCCAAGCACACGTATATAAATTCCAACCGATACAAAGCACCCCCCCCACACTTAAGCACGACATTTCCCTCAATGGAGCAGAGGGATAGAGAAGGGGAACGATGTTACCGGATTGAAATGCTGCGGGAGACTGGAAGTGGACCAGTCAGCGTGGGACATATGGAACGAACGGACAGTTCTGCACTAAGGGAACATCAAGAACACACTAGCACATGTTCGTTAGGGATCAGAGTTGGCCGAGATGGCCACAAAAGAAAAGAAACAAAACACACGACAAACTCAGTTCAAGCTCCTCAAACACATGGAGCAAACAGAAAAAGTCTAAAACAAAAAACACACACTGAGGGGCGACAAGTACAGCCTATTCGTCGCCAAGGTTGTCCAGATCGATGTCATTCATGAATGCATCATCGTCATCAACTGTGGAGGGGTAAGTGGAGAGTCCTCCCAGGGAGTCCTCCAGACTGGCTGCTCGCCCGGTAGCAGCTGGAGCAGATGCCCCTGGACCTCCTGCATGCGCCTAGCTCGGGCCTGCTCCCTCTCGATGCGCGCCAAGGTCACCCCCTACTAGGTCTCCATCCTATCAAGGAGCTCAACATACGCAGCCATCCGGGTCTGGTACTCGGCATGGTGAGCCGAATACTGCTGCTGAAACTGGAGCTGATAGTCGTAGAGCTGCTGATTCTGGAGAAGCAGCTGCTCGAACTGCTGAGTTAAGTAGTCCTGGCCGGGGAAGGTGGAGCTGCCACCCCCGTACTCGAAGGTGGTGGGGCAGGCGGCAGCATTATCATCCTCATCCTAGGGATGGACCTCCTCATCAGCCGCACCCTCAGGAGCCTCTGGCTGGACCTCCTCTGGGATCTGAGGTTGAGGAAACCCCTCGATCCACATGGCACCTCGCTCTTCTCAAAGCAGGTACATTTTACTGATCGTGAACCGGCCAAAGGCACTGGTGTCTCCCTGCTCTGTGCACCCCTGCAGGGATATCTGGAAGTAGGCTACCAGGCGGGTGATGAGGGGAGTGCAGTGGAGTTTCTTCAGCTCAGAAGCACTCTTGTCAAAGGTCCTCGTCACCACCAAGCCCAAGTGGAGGGGATGATCCCTCTGGCGCATAGACTGGATGAAGTACATGGCTCTCTTGGTGATGGCGCTGGCACTGTCTGAGGCTGGAGTGTAAGACTTGGCCAGCATGTGATGGAGGATGCGGTTGTCGAGCTGCAATGTGCTGGCCTTCGTCTTCCCTGCCTTGAAGGGAAGCTGACCTGGCCGAGCGAGGCGGGTGTACAGTGTCCGGAAGTTCACCCCCTCTGGCTCGAAAAGCTCGGTGATATAGTCCCTATCATCGACGAGGCTGAGGCCGAGGGCGGTCTCCAGCTCGTTGTAGCTCATGGATCTAGGTTCACCGCCGAGCCTGAATTGGACGGCTTCACCGTCCTTCCAATTCTCCGTGGCTGCGTGCTTGAAGGTAGTGTAGAACTCAAGCACGAGCTCGTGGTAAACCTTCTCGCGAATGCTAAGTAGGCGGCGCCAGTAGCGATTGGTGACAATGGAGGAGAGGTGCTCGTAGCAGTTCAGCTTCTCCAACTCTCGCTTGGACCAGCAATGATGCTGCCCAAACTTGCAGGCCAGGACGTTCTTAAAACGATCCTGGTGGGGGCCCCTTCTCAAATCTTGAACAAACTGGTGGCGGAGGTTGGGCTTTGTCATGGTCCTGCAAAAGAACAACCCAAAGTGGAACCAAAAGAGCCAAAGAAAATGTTAATCACACCCCCACACTTAAGAACAGAAAACAGCCGAACCATGGTTTCATCCATAGTTCGGGGGTCAAAAACTCGATAAATCAAGCATAATCTGAGTGGGGGTGCACATCCATGAAAAATAAGGAAACTCAAGGTTTACATCCGTAGCAAACACACCCTCAAAGCACATAATTAAGGGTCCCAACCGACTCCCACAAAATGGCACGAAAACAGGCATTTCATCGAACAACTTGTGTGCACTATTAAGGTAAACATGGAATTGACAAAATTCTTGCACACAAGGGCTCACACAAGCAAGGAAAACAATGCCCAACACAATTCATACATAATCCAAGCATTCCCCTCAATCAATTGCACACAATTCACATGATTCAAAGAGGTTCTCTAAACAAGCACCCTAACACCCAATTCTCCATAAAAAACATAGTTAAGGTCAAAATCAAACCTGGAGACTCAAGTAGAGGTGTAGGGGATGATGAGAGGAAGGCAATGGAAGCGACGAAAGGCCGAAAACTGCCCGGAAGTGCTCGTCGGAGCCTCGCCGGAGTCTCGCCGGAAATCGCCTACGGCGACTCAAAATCAAGCCAAATCACCTCAAAATCGAGGGATAGGACGATAATGGGGAGGAAAGGGTGGGTGTGGTGTTGGATTTGTGAAAAAATGACAAAAAATGGCCAAAAATCGACAAAGATAGCTAAAAGGCGCGGTTTTCCGGCGAGGGGGAGAGGTTTCCGGCGAGAGAATTGGGATTTTCTGACCACTCGGCCGTGTCGGCCGAATTTATAGCCCGTGGCTCGGCCACACGGGCAGGCTCACACGGCCGTGTGAGGTGCACTTTTGCCTGTGTCGGCCGACACGGGCTGGCCGAGGATTTTCCACTCGGCCGTGCGAAAAGCACATTTGGCCGTGTGACTTTTGACGAGAGCTCACACGGCCAAGGGGGATATCCACATGGCCATATCACAATCACAACTGGCCGTGTGGAATTTCACGAGAGCTCACACAGCCAAAACTCAAATCCACACGGCCGTGTGACTTTCAGGGCTGGCCGTGTGGGCTGCCAGAACTCCGAAATTGACCTGTTTTCACTCCAGAACGACATACAACTCGTGAACAACCCCTCAAGACTCAAAAAAACACAAAAAAATCAAAAGAAAAAAGGTAAGAAAATGCAAACCTAGGTGGGTTGCCTCCCCACAAGCGCTTCTTTACCGTCTTTTAGCTGGACGCCAGTCGGTGGATGCTCAATGAGGTGAAGGAGTAGGTGCCTTCAAGAGCGGATCCACCTCGCTCTTGAGGTACAGCTTCAAATGGTGGCCATGCACACGACGAATGTGGCCACCAGCATTCGCCAACTCGACTTGGCCATCCGACAGGATGCAAGCGAGTGAATACTCGGATGGCCAAGGTGGGAGCGGGACCATCTCGTAGTGGTCTCCGGCTTTCTTTCGAGCAGGCTTAGCTGCCTGCAGTTTCGGCCGCCACTCCTCCTTGATCTGTTCTTTCGGTGACGGAGTGGACGGGAGTGGCGGCGAAGGTATAGGAGGCGGATCCTGCAAAATGGGAGAAAGAGAAGGATACACGACAGACTCGTGCTCCCGGTGAGACAGCATGCAAAGGTAAAGAAGCAGGGAGAGTATTAGTAATTGAAAATGTTATTCGCTCCTCGCCATCCCTCAAAACTAAGGTCCCATCATGCACATCTATGAGAGCCTTGGCGGTGGCCAGGGAAGGCCTTCCCAGTATAAGGGGCACTTCTGTGTCCTCATTGATGTCCAAGACAACAAAATCCACAATGATGAGGTCATCAAAGCCAAACACACTCAAGTTGAAGGGCCCATGACTCGAGCGAGGGCTAAGGCTTTTCGGGATCAAATTGCAAGCTATTTGGCTAAGGAGTTGGAGGGCTTAAGCTTGGATTTGCTAGAACGAAAGTCCATCACACTATTGAGCTATGTGGATCACGAAATTGGGCTCAAAGGGAGGGAAGGAGGGTCGGCCATGGAGAAGGAGTCTCAAGGTGTGAATGGAATCAACAATGGATAAAGATCATGGTGTGAACACAAGGTGTGAAAGGAATTTCAAGTGTGAACACAAGGGGGGGCGGATTTGAAGGCTAGATTCAAGGGTAGTTGTTGACTTAGTCTTTTCCTTGTTTGTTAAGGTTTTTGTTTTCCTTGTTTGTTAAGGTTTTGGTTTTCCTTTTTCAAGTAGGATTTGGTTTTCCTTAGTTGTTTTGTGTTTAGATTCGTGGGTCTATAAATAGGAGTCCAACCAATGTATTTTTCATTCAAGTTTCAGCAATCAAATACAAGTGTTTACAAGTTCAAGTGAACGTTTTGCTTATTCGCTCCTTTGAGGATTCGGGAGGTTTGAGTGGTCTCTTATCAACTAGAGAACGCGTCTAGTTGTGGCGAGAATCGACGATATCGATTGGCCTCTTCCACGGGTTCGAGATTGTTTGGAAGGTTTCATATACCTTCTGGCCCTTCTCACGAGTTCGGATTTGTTTGATCGATTCCGCAAGTATCTGTATTTTCGAGTTCAAGAAAGGCGGCATCAAGAAAATCAAGAAAGTCAAGAAAATCAAGAAAATCAAAGAATCAAGAAAATCAAGAACAGATCGTTTTCAAGAAAATCAAGAAAAGATCGTTGGAGCTGCGTACTTTGGTCTTATAATCCGAGTTCGAGGGTTATCTTCGGATTTGGATCATATCAAGTGGTATCAAGAGCCCGGTTCAAACGCAGCGGAGAAGACAAAGATTCTTGGTAGTTCGGGAAGCATTCTTGGAAATCTTGAACGTCAAGAAAGCAAATCTTGAACGCTCTTGAGAGTTTCTTGTGTGGCAAGGAAGGTATCTTGAAGACAAAGCATTCGTGGGGTTCTTCTTTAGCAAGAAACCATGGCAGAACAAGCACAAGATGTGGCGACACAACTTCAGCAACTCGCTGCACAACTAGCTACGGTACTTCAAGAACAAAGGGAGACAAGGGCACAAGTCGAGGCATTGCAAAGACGTGATCAAGAGCTGCCTCAACAACAAGAACAAGAGCCACCCCAAGGCGAGTTTGCAAACCCTAACAATAGGGAACGACGAGAAGAAAGGAGAGTTATTCGAGCTGTTCAACATCCAATGTTTGAGAATGTTCGTCGACATAGGCCATTGGGAGGGCATCGTGGTGCAAGGAGAGACTTCCCCTTCTATGACGAGGAAGGGTATGAAGAATACGAGTATGATGGAGGTGCTTACCGAGATGATGATGATCTAAGAGGATTGAAGATAACCGTACCATCTTTCAAAGGGACAATTGATCCAGAAGCTTATCTCGATTGGGAACGCAAGATGGAGCTGATTTTTTATAATCAAAACTACTCAGAGAAGAGGAAGGTGGCGATGGCTACCATTGAGTTTACGGATTATGCCCTAGCGTGGTGGGATCAATTGAGCACGAAGAGAAGAAGAGATAGGCGCAGGCCTATTGAAACATGGGATGAGTTTAAGGCAATCATGAGAGATCGATTTGTTCCAGCCTATCATCAACGGGAAATGCACCAAGCATTACAACTTCTTCGACAAGGGAACAAGAGTGTTGAGGATTACTATCGAGAGATGGAGTTGTTAATGATTCGAGCTGATGTTCGTGAAGATAGGGAAGCTACCATAGCTCGATTTCTACATGGCCTTAATCGAGAGATTCGTAATGTCGTGGAAATTCAACAATTTGTGGAGGTAGAAGACTTGGTAGCTATTTGCAGCAAGGTGGAAAGGCAACAGAAGAATAGGAGGTTTCTACCCTCTACAAGTACTACAAGGCCTACACCAACACCTACAAATAACCCTAGGTCGAGTGTTCCTACAAGAGAAGCACCAAAACTCGGGCCAAAAGTGGAGACTCCAAACCCTAGCACCAAACAGGGTTCATCTTCCGGTGGAATTCAATGTTTCAAGTGCCATGGACGAGGGCATATGGCAAACCAATGCCCAAACAAAAGAGCATTGATCTTATTGGAGAATGGTGAATATGTATCCGATGGAGAGAAAGAGGAAGCACTAGAAGAGAAGGGTACATCAGATTCTGAGGTAGATGAGGCCCTTGAGATGGAGACACCCCCAGGCAGATTATGTGTAGCTCGAAGGGTATTGAGCATCCAACCAAAGGAGGAGCTTGAGCAACGGGAGAACCTCTTCCATACGAGGTGTGTAGTGGATGGGAAGACCCTTTTGGTAGTGATTGATGGAGGGAGCTGCACCAATGTGGTTAGTGCTAGTTGTGTGAAGAAGTTGGGGTTGAAAACAATGATTCATCCAAAACCCTACACTCTTCAATGGCTCAATGAAGATGGGTCAATCAAAGTGGCTAAACAAGCCTTATTGAAGTTCTCCATTGACAAATACAAGGATGAGGTAACGTGTGATGTGGTGCCAATGCAAGCGGCTCATGTTCTCTTTGGGAGGCCGTGGCAGTTTGATCGAAGTGCTCAACATGACGACGTCACCAACAAATACACGTTAAAGCACCAAGGTAAGAAGATAGTATTGAAGCCTCTATCTCCTAGAGAAGTGTATGAAGATCAATTACAAATGCAACAAATTCGAGAGGAAGAGAAGAAGGCTCAATCCGCAAGGGGTGCAAAGAAGGGTTCGAGTAGCTTGGAGTCCAAGGCATTGATGCTAGCTCGACAAGGAGACATGAAGCAAGCCCTCTATGATCGAGTTCCTATGATTATTGTCCTATACAAGGGATTGCTACTCAACCAAGAGCTGATTCAAGAGGTACCACCTAAGGCACGAGTGGTACTAGAAGAGTTTGAGGATGTCTTTCCCGAAGAAGCACCAAAGGGATTACCTCCAATCCGCGGGATAGAGCATCAAATTGACTTCGTTCCTGGGGCTACCATTCCAAACAAGGCAGCCTATAGGACGAATCCGGAGGAGACAAAGGAGTTGCAAAGGCAAATTGATGAGCTTATGGAGAAAGGACATGTTCGTGAGAGCATGAGTCCTTGTGCAGTTCATGTCATCCTCGTGCCTAAGAAAGACCATACATGGAGGATGTGTGTTGATTGCCGAGCAGTCAACCAAATAACCGTTAAGTATCGTCATCCTATTCCTCGATTAGATGACATGCTTGATGAATTACATGGGTCTAATATGTTCTCGAAGATTGATCTAAGGTCTGGTTATCACCAAATTCGCATGAAGGAAGGAGACGAGTGGAAGACAGCATTCAAAACAAAGCATGGTCTCTATGAATGGATGGTGATGCCATACGGGTTAACAAATGCTCCAAGTACGTTTATGAGGCTGATGAATCATGTGTTGAGAGCATTCATTGGAAAATTCGTGGTGGTCTACTTTGATGACATTCTGATCTACTCAAAGAGCATGGAAGAGCACCTTGAGAACTTGAGGGACGTGTTGAAGACTTTTCAGAAGGAGCAACTCTATGCCAACCTCAAGAAGTGTTCATTTTGCACCTCAAGCGTGGTGTTTCTGGGTTTTGTCGTGAGTGCTAATGGAGTTGAAGTCGATAAAGAGAAAGTAAAAGCGATTCAATCATGGCCTACTCCTACCAACATGAGTGAAGTAAGAAGCTTTCATGGATTGGCTGGATTTTATCGACGATTTGTGCCCAACTTCAGCACCATTGACCTCAATTATCAAGAAGAATGTGGCATTTTATTGGGGAGAAGAGCAAGAGAAGGCATTCGAGCTCTTCAAGTACAAGCTTACTCATGCTCATGTTCTGATGCTACCAGATTTTAACAAGACGTTTGAAGTGGAGTGTGATGCATCAGGATTGGGAATTGGCGCTGTATTGATGCAAGAGAAGAGGCCCATTGCATATTTCAGCAAGAAGTTGAGCGGAGCTACGCTTAATTACCCGACTTATGATAAAGAGCTTTATGTGCTTGTTCGAGCTTTGGAGACTTGGCAACACTACTTGTGGCCAAAGGAATTCGTCATACATACTGATCATGAGTCTCTCAAGTATTTGAAGGCCCAACACAAGTTGAACAAGAGGCATGCTCGTTGGGTGGAGTTCATTGAATCATTCCCTTATGTGATCAAGTACAAGCAAGGCAAGGAGAACATAGTTGCTGATGCATTATCGCGAAGATACACGTTGATCACTACCATGGATGCAAGATACCTTGGATTCGAGCAAATCAAGAGCATCTATGAGGAGGATTCTGATTTTCGAGAGATTTACAAGCTTTGTGAGAAGCATGGAGAAGGGAAGTACTATCGACATGAGGGCTACTTGTTTCGTGGTAATCAACTTTGCATACCACGTACTTCACTTCGAGAATTGATACTACGAGAAGCTCATGGAGGAGGATTGATGGCACACTTTGGTGTAGCCAAGACTTTGAGTTGCTTACAAGAGCATTTCTATTGGCCACATATGAAAAGAGATGTGGAGAGCTTATGTGCTAGATGTGTAGAGTGCAAGCAAGCTAAATCGAAGGTGCAATCGTCTGGATTGTACACTCCACTACCCATTCCCTCGTTACCGTGGGTTGATATATCTATGGACTTCGTATTGGGGCTGCCAAGGACAAAGAGAGGTCGAGATTCTATCTTTGTGGTGGTGGATCGATTCTCAAAGATGGCACATTTCATTCCATGCCATAAAACTGACGATGCGGTTAATGTGGCGGATCTGTTCTTCAAAGAGGTGGTGCGACTACATGGGATGCCACGCACCATTGTTTCTGATCGAGATGCTAAGTTCTTGAGCTATTTTTGGAAGACGTTGTGGAGCAAGCTTGGAACGAAGCTCTTGTTTTCGACTACTTGTCACCCTCAAACGGATGGGCAAACTGAAGTGGTGAATCGTACTCTATCTCAAAT